ACCTTTTCCTGCCTTAGTTTCCTCATCAAGAAAGTGGGGGTAATTCTGTATTTGTTGCTTGGAACATTGCCCATCTGATACACGATAAGAGGCCAGTAAGTTATTGCTTTTCTCAACTATCACAAACTATTTTTCACATATTGGTCTGTCTCCTCGATTAGAAAGTCAGCTCCATTACAGCAGGACTTTGTTTCGCTTATGACTTTATCCCTATAGCTGTGTCTTGGTAAGAAGGACTCCCACAAATTCTTGTTGAGTATGAATGAATTTAGTGAATGTCTAAAAAGCCATAAACCATTGAATTTATTATTTTCTTATGTTTCCTATAACTAGGTGGGTATTAACATTGATAGATGTGTGTACTATACTTTGTTGCAGGGGGAAATCTCCTTGGTCTTTAAATTCAAGTGGAAAATGGCAATAAAGTGGAACAAAATGTACCTGAAAAAATCTTCTCCACCAGGCTGCATTATTGAACTAGATCAGTTAAAGCAAACTTAGTATATGATAACACCAGAGTATGAGGAGAAAAAAATGCAGAGATGATTATGTAAACTGTTTAGACAGTGCCTAGCATATAGTAGCTTCTAAATGAATACTCACTACCAAATTATAGGTACACTTGCAAAAGTGCAATAATATAGAAGTTATAATTAAAGGATTTTGCCAATTATATACACCTATGTTAGATCTAGATATAGAACATTTCCATTACTTCAAAAAGATGCCCCATTGCCCCTTTTTCAATAAATTCTGTCTCCCCAAGCCAACCATGTGGTAGGCAGAATGAGCCACTCCCCTTTAAGATGTCCTTGCTGGGACACCTGAGTGACTCAGTTGGTTAAGTGTCTGACTCTTGGTTTCAGCTCAGGTCAGGATTTCATGGTTGTGAGATCCAGCCTGGCGTTGGGCTCTGTGCTGGGCATGGAGCCTGCTTAAGATTCTCTCTCTCCCTTTACCTCTGCCCCTCCTTTGCTCATGCTCCCTTGCTCTCTCTCTCTCTCAAAAAAAAAAAAAAAAAAAAAAAAAAAGTAAATAAATAAAAAATTAAAGAAACTTCCTTGCTACAACCTGAGAATATGAACATACCTTTGAATATGTTTCATGGATGGGCCTGGTGTAACCACATGAGTCCTTAGAAGTAGAAGAGAAAGGCAGAAAAATAGGTCCGAGAAAGATACAACAGTAGGAGAGGAAACGAGAGATTTGAGGTGAGGAGCATATGACCCATGGTACTGGGTTTGAAGGTGGAGGAAGCCAAGGAATGCAGGTGGCCTCTAGAAGCTGGGATACCAACAAAGAAACAGGGACCTCAGTCCTACAACTACAAGCACTGAATTCAGTCAACAATCTGAATGAGCAAGGAAACAGATTCTCCCAGATGCTCTTGGATTTCATATACAGGTAATCATAAAGTAAGAACTCTTTTGAATCTGGCTTCTTTCACTTGACATAATGTTTTTGAGATTTACCTACATTTTTAGAACAGTAATTTTTTTTTAACTGCTAGTACTGTTCTACTATGAATAGACCTCAGTTTATTTATCCATCTTCTTGTTGACGGCTATTTGGGTTGTTTCTGGTATTTGGATATCATGACTAGGTACATTCTTATACAAGTCTTTTTGTGGACACACCTTTCCATTTCTCGGGTAAATTGGGTAAATACCCACGAACAGAACTGCTGGGTCACAGGGGAGATATATGTTTAACTTTAAAAGAAATTGGCAAACAGTTCTCCAAAGCGGCTGCATGTTTCAGGTTCCCTCCCACTTGCCTCGAGTGAGCTCACTGGACTGAGCACTTAAAATCTGTGTATTTCATTGTGTACCTAAGTGTACCTCAACAAATATATCAGAAAAGAAAAACATGCAACAGAACACTGTATTTGTATATGCAGACAATATAATATCATCTGTCTCAGAAACGGTACTGTGGATATAAGGAACAAGTAAGTCATAGAATAAATTTGATTAAAAAAATACAACTTTACCATTTTAATTTTATTATACATTATTTACTAGAAAATTTTCCTTCTGAAAGGTCACTCTGAAAAATGAACACTAGTGGTTTTATAATCGAATTCAGTTTAGCATCTATATATAATCTCTGCATATTTAACTTGCACATGAATTAGGGCTATAAGAAATGTTTGCCCCCAAATTCTTAAATTTTTAAGAATTTTATTGTCTTAAAATTCTTTTTTTTAACTGTTAGAATTCTTATTAGGTGAGATTTATTTATTTGTTTGTTTACTTATAATATCTATGCCCAACATGGGGCTCAAATTCACCACCCTGAGATCAAGAGTCACATGCCCTACAAACTGAGCCAGCCAGGGACCCCTGGTCTTAAAATATTTTAAGACCTCTAACATTGCTGATGGAAGGGTAAGCTGTTACAATCTCTATGGAGTACAATTTAGTAATATTTTTCACATTTATACAAGCTCTAAACCCTTTGACCTTGAACTCCTGCATGTTGGAATACATTCTACATATTTACTTGCTCATATGCACAATATTCATGCAAAGCTACTCATATCAGCAGTCTGTAATAGCAAAACATTTGAACCAATCTAAAAAAATGCAGGGTTGCTAAATCACAGGGTTGCTACACAGCTGAGGAAAAAAGTGGGGATGCTACTTAATGTTTCAAGTATGGAATAATTTCTAAGGGAAAAATAATACATACATATATTTGCACATTCATAAGGTATTTGGAAGGATATACTAGAAACTGAAAAGTGGTAATTTCTTTTTTTTTTTTTTTTTTAGTATTTATTTATTTTTGAGAGAGCAAGAGAGCAAGCCAGCCGGGGAGGGGAAGAGAAGGAGGGAGACAGAATCCTAAGCAGGCTCTGCATCTCTGGGTTGTCAGCACAGATCCCAGCATGGGGCTTGAACTCATGAACTGTGAGATCACGACCTGAGCCAAAACCAAGAGTCACTTAACCAACTGTGTCACCCAGGTGCCCCAAGTGTGGTAATTTCTAGAGAGGAGGGAGAGCTGTGTATCTGAGTGACAGGTGTGAAGCTTTTTGCCATTCACTCTTTAATTTTGAACAATGTGACCATTAACTAATAAAAACAAACATCTCTGCATTAAAATTTTAGGGGAGAATGATAATCTAAATTTAAAGTAAAACGAATCCTATGTTACAGATATTTAATTATATATAGAGCTTCATTATTCTATTATGATTAGAAAAATGTAAAGTTTGTTAATTTTTTAAATTATTTTTTTAAATGTTTTATTTTTATTTTTAAGAAACAGAGAGTGAGCAGGGAGATAAGGAGACAGAGAATCTCAAGTGGGCTCTGTGCTTAAAGCAGAGAGCCTGATGCAGGGCTTGAACTCTCATACGACGAGATCATGATCCGAGCTGAAGTCGGATGCCACCCAGGCGCCCCCAAAAGTTTTATCAATTATTATGTAAAAGGAACAATAAATCTATACTATAACAGATGTAAAGTTAATTCTAAGTGGAAATCATGAGCTCCCAAGTTGGTAATAAGGGAAAACAATGCTTGGAATAAAGGGAAGGGGAAAAAAATTAGTAGGTGTGGTAAACCACCATAACCATTCTTCTTGGTGCAAATGAACTGTTACAGGCTACTGTTTGGGGTATTATTTTGAACTTATTCATACATTTAACATGTAGTTAATCTCTTGGGATGCTGATTTTAATAGAAAAAAACAGACAAATTGAAAGCTACCTTTAAAGGCAGATTTAAAATAGTAAGAAAACCTCAACTTTATTTAACCCTTTTCAACTTTCAATTCATTAAGAAAATTTTTTCCTTACATTATTTGTTCATACATTATTCCTTTTGCTCCTCATAACCCTACGATTTTGAAATTTTATTCTGACTTTACGTATAAGGAAAAAAAAGATACTGAGAGAAGCTAATTTACCTCAAATCACATGGTTTTGTATGAGCTAGACCTAGTACCCTGGTGTTCTTAACACTGGTGCTACTTTCCATCTGCAATCCCTTAACCTTCAGCCCCTGCCCTCTCTCTCACCTTATCTGTCATCACAGTAATTTAACTTTCCTGCTGTTTATATGCCTCCAAAGGGAAATGACAATTTTGATAATGGTGCAATATTTATTGTACCTATCTATTTAAAATTTTTTTTTAACAAACCAAAATTGCATTAAAACATCGATATGCGATTATTTTCCCACCACTCAAAAATTTTAATATGTATTGAAGATTCTGGACCAGAAAATGTGTAAAGATAAGACAAAGAATATCAAAATAACTTATAACAAATTTCTAAAACCTCTCACATATTAAAATTGGTAAGATAAAAATATGATTTACAATACATGTTTGCCATTATGGTATAGATAAGAAAATAGTAACCATACTAAAATTAATTCATCCTACTTATCAAAATTCCTATTATAAGAATGAAAATATTCACCTGTTTATAAATAGGTATTCAAAAGTGTCTTTTGAACAACATTCTTTGGTGTTCATAAAACGGCATATATTATAATATATTTATCATACAGTCTTTTCAGACTATAAATTCATTTTAAACTGGAAATGAAAAAATATAAATTAGATATTGCTATAGAAAATAGTTACAGGGTAAGTATTTTGATGTCATGGTGCCCAAATACTTGTGGACAAGATTTACCTACTAAACTTTAAAATAACTACCTTTTCTTTGATATTTCTTATAGATCTACATGTTCCAGAACTTAAAAAAAAAATTACGTTAGTCTAAAGGCTGAAAATTCAAACATGAATTGACAATTATCTATGATTCTCTCAACTGGCTATTCCACAAAATATGGAGCTAACTGAATAGATGAAAACCCTAGCACTGCGTGGATACCAGCTTGATAAGCAACTTGGAATGGCAGATGCATTACAAGAAATGGAACATTCTACTACAGAGGAAGAAGACAAGTGATCGAATAATATGCACACAACTTGGTAAAACTCTTTACCCTAATAAAGTAATTATTCATTTGCAAATATTACCAAAAGTAAAAAAAATTTATTTTACAGAGTGGTTGGTTTTCAATACATCAATAATGTTTTAATTCCCTATTCTCATTTCAGCTTGTCTCATTTCAGTGGTTGGTTTCTCCTAAATAATTTAGTTTACATTTAAAGTGGCAATACAGCTTTTACGTAATGGATTTAAGTTATAATTAGAAACCAGTTTTATATACAGAAAATCCATAAATATAGAACTTTTATTCCTATTTTATCCTAGGGCTATGCAAAAAATTGACTAAAAATTTTTCATTTGGGTCTTTGTAATAAACATGTAAATACATTATTTACAATGGAGATATTTTATGACAGAAAGTAAACACACAGAAGTAATTTTGGTCTTCACCAGAATCCATCATTATATGTTCATTTTCGAAGATGATGTGACACATGTTCAAATTTTAAAATTCTCATTATACACGTAATTCAAGTAATTATTTTACTTGTACAATTAATGCTTCATTCTGTATTTAAATTTCCTTTATGAAAGATTCCTTGATCCAATAGTAGGGAACTTTAGAATTTGTCTCAAATACAGCAAAATGTTTCTGTACAATTATGTGCAATTTTCTTCCTTCTGGCAATATTATAAATACCGAGCAATTTCATCTTCATTGTCCATACCCCAGAGGTAATCCTTGAGTTATCTCACATGATGTAAGTACCATCTTTGTAGTATTTCATGGACTCCATTTGTTTGGTCATAGCTAGAACATCATGAAATCCAGTACTTAGGCCAGACATATGTTGAAAGTATGCCTCTTTTTCCACTTGAATGGTTAAATTGTTTACTCCAGCATCTTTAAGTATTCCTGTAACCTGTTATAAAAACCCATACATTTTAAAGCATTTAGATTAGTGCATTTAGTACATATGTCTCAAATATCTGATAGGACATTTTTTTCATAGCCACAGATAGTCAAAGATAATCCCCGGGGCACCTGGGTGGCTCAGTCAGTTGAGTATCTGATTTCGGCTCAGGTCATGATCTCACAGCTCGTGAGTCTGAGCCCTACATCAGGCTCTGTGATGACAGCTCAGAGTCTGGAGCCTGCTTCATTATTCTGTCTCTGTCTCTCTCTCTGCCCCTCCCCTGCCCATGCTCTCTCTCAAATATAAATAAACATAAAAAAAAAAAAAAGATAATCCTCAAAGTAATGTTTATCATTTACTTGGTAAAATGTTAAATATAATCTTTTAGAAGACCTGTAAATTACTGACCTGACATTCCAATTTGAAAAGAAAAACAGCTTTTGTTTCCAATTTGGTATGTTTAGAAAAGGGATATTAAAACTATTTTGAGGGGCGCCTGGGTGGCACAGTCGGTTAAGCGTCCGACTTCAGCCAGGTCACGATCTCGCGGTCCGTGAGTTCGAGCCCCGCGTCAGGCTCTGGGCTGATGGCTCAGAGCCTGGAGCCTGTCTCAGATTCTGTGTCTCCCTCTCTCTCTGCCCCTCCCCCGTTCATGCTCTGTCTCTCTCTGTCCCAAAAATAAATAAACGTTGAAAAAAAAAAACAAAAACTATTTTGATTCTTACCTCCAACCATAGCATATACCTTGCCAACTTTATTGTGATTATTATTAATCTAGAGCTATATTTATAATAATTAATTTCTAGATAACCTATTGGGAACCAAGGTGGATCACAAGTGATATTTTAACATTACCTTAAGCTTGTGCTCTAAATACTGAAACTTAATTTTTACCATTTTTGGGCAGAAAACAAATCTAGATGTAAAAAATAAGGTATATTATCTTTAGACAGCCAAAAGATTGATGTTTTTGAACAGTCAAATGATTACTGAACTGTGTAATTTATGATGTGTGCAAATTTATGCATGAATTAACTCAACTGAAATTACTTTAAAAAGAAAAGCTGATCACCTGCTGTACTATTCTTTGCTCCAGCACATCGGATGCCACCTGTATATGAACTGTTCCTGCCACAACACTGGCTGAATGACGCCAAAAATGAGGGTCTCGGTATGATATTAATCCTTCAATTTTCTGTATCTGTAAGATAAAAAAAGAGGTGATATAAATGGACATAAAGCCTAATTTACTTAACACAAAGCAATCTTTTTGGTCCAGGAACCAGATGATTAAGTGTCTGACTCTCGATTTCAGCTCACGTCATGATCTCAAGGTTCGTGGGATCGATCCCCACATCAGGCTCTGTGCTGACAAGTGTGGAGCCTGCTTGGGATCCTCTCTCTCCCTCTCTTAAGAAGAAAAAAAAAGATAATAAGGAGAGCAAGGAAGTGAGAAAGGAAAGGGACAACTCGCTTGAAGTAAAATATTTCCAACAGAGTGATGCCGAGGAAGACAGCATCATTCATGGGAAGTGAATGATTATTCACTTCCCATCATTCATGGGAAGTGAATAATAGTTGCACACCCATTTTCACTTCTTGAAGAGGTACTTTACCGATGCTAAACTTTGGGATACATTCAATGGACTAAATGGTTTCCTCATGTTGATACATACATTCACATATTATTTAGTATAGAAACATGTTCAAAAGATATCCTTTATGCTTAGTAATGGAGAACTGGTTAAAAACAGACAACACATATAATGTAATAGGACACTGTCATCAAAAATGTATTAAAGGCATTTATCAATATGACATAATTAAATGGGGAAAAATTTACAAAGTAGCACAAAATAGTTTTTTGCCATGTTCAAAATACCTAAAATATAGAAAAACAATTTTTAAAAGTGCTTCTTTCCAGGGGCACCTGGCTGGCTCAGTTGGTAGAGCATGCAACTCTTTTCTTTTTAAATGTTATTTTATTTTATTTTTAGAGAGAGTGAGAGACAGAGCGTGAACAGGGGAGGGACAGAGAGAGGAGACACACAATCAGAAGCAGGCTCCAGGCTCCGACCTGTCAGCACAGAGCCTGACGTGGGGCTCGAACTCACAAACTGTGAGATCATGATCTGAGCCGAAGTTGGACACTTAACCACCTGAGCCACCCAGGTGCCCCCTTTTTTTTTTTTAAATATATTTTTTTAATTTACTTAGAGAGAGACAGAGACAGCACAAATGGGGAGGGGCAGAGAGAGAGAGAGAGAGAGAGAGAGAGAGAGAGAGAGAGAACCCAAGCAGGCTCTGTGCTGTCAGCTTAGAATCTGATGTGGGGCTTGAACTCCTGAAACGTGAGATCATGACCTGAGCTGAAACCAAGAGTTGGACGTTTAACCAACTGTGCCACCCAGGCACCCCTAGACCATGCAACTCTTGATCATGAGTTTGAGCTCCACATTGGTGGCAGAGATTACTAAAATAAAATTAAAATAAAATAAAATAAAATAAAATAAAATAAAATAAAATAAAATATAAAGAGGTTTCTTTCTAGGTGGTAGAATTATATGTGATTTTGTGTGTGTGTGCTTTTCTGTATTTTGAAGTTTTCCTTTTCCCATAATGGACATACATTATTTTGAAATAAAACTTTTTTTCACTTTTAGAATAATGTAATCACTAATAACAAGAAGGTGAGGGTACTAATTTTATTTATGAAAACAGTGGGTTAAGATGCTATTCCTTTAATATTCAAGATGCCAACTTTTCATCAGCAGATCCTGATTTAATGTGATATGGCAAGGGTGCCTGGTTGGCTCAGTTGGTAGAGCATGTGGCTCTTATCTTGAGTGAGTTTGAGCCCCACAATGGGTAAGGCCTCCTTTAAAAGAAAATATGATATGGCAAACCACAAGCTGAAAAAAATTTCTTTTGTATTTGTTTTTTCTGTGAATTGCTGATTTATATTCTAGTCCATTTTCTTACAAGACTTTCTTTTTTAAACAAATTTGTTTTATAAAAATATTTTTTTTATTTTTAACAGAGAGAGAGAGAGAATGAGAATGAGAGGGGTAAGGGCAGAGAGAGGGAGATACAGAATCTGAAGCAGGCTCTAGGCTCTGAGCTGTCAGCACAGAACCTGATATGGAGCTCAAACTCACGAACTGTGAGATCATGACCTGAGCTGAAGCTGGAGCTCAACCCACTGAGCCACCCAGGCGCCTCAAGACTCTCTTGATTTTTTTTTTTTAATTTTTAATTTTTTAGTGTTTATTTATTTTTTGAGAGACACAGAATGTGAGTAGGGGAGGGGCAGAGAGAGAGGGAGTCATAGAATCTGAAGCAGGCTCCAGGCTCCAAGCTGAATGTAGGACTTGAACCCATAAGCTGTGAGATCATGACCTGAGCTGAAGTCAGCTACCCAACCAACTGAGGCACCCAGGCGCCCCAAGACTCTCTTAATTTAAAAAATTATGCACAGTAAGTCTCTGGTTGCTTATATGTGCTGCAAATATTTTTCTCTTGTCTGCCTTCTGTATTTCTTATTTGTTAATGGAGTCTTTTGCCAATCAACAATTTTTAACTGCTCCAATCTATAGATTTTTTTCTGTCCTTTTTTGGCTTCTGGTTTTAATTCGAACTTATTAAAAAGGCTTTCTCTACCTCTGTAGCCCTGAAAGTATTCTTCTATTTTATTTTAGTACCTTCATTATTTTTTATCTTTTACATATCCAGTACATTGGAAATACATTTTGATATTTGGTGGTAAAGAGATACAGCTTTTTATATTCCACTAAGTAGAAATATTAATTAGGTCCACCCTTTCTCCCCACTGATCTAAAATGCCAAGCTTTGCTACGTACTGAATTCCATAAATTCCTGAGTCTGTTTCTGGACCACCAATTAAAAAAAAATTGATTTATGTGTTTACTGTTGTGCAAAAACAAAACTATTATTTGTGTTGGATAATTCCGTAACTTTATAATCACCAAACAGCATCCTATTAGTTAATTCTGTAATTTATGGGTTTTTTTTGTTATTCTCAAGCATTAACTCTTCCAAATAAGCTTCCAAGTAATACTGGATAACAAAATAAAACAAACAAACAAAAGGAAAAAAACCCAAAAATCCCAAGGAAAGGCAACTGCACTGAGATTTAAATACAAGAAATGCAACATCTTTACAATACTGTTTCCCATCCAAGAAAAATGTCTCCATTTATTCAGTACTTATTTTTATGTCCTTTAAATAAGACTGTATTTTCTTCATTCATATTTTTCACATTCCTAGTTGGGTCAACTTACTCAATTTCAAATGCTATTTTAAAAGGAAAAAATAGGGGCACCAGGGTGGCTCAGTCGGTGTTCATTTTCAGCTCAGGTCATGATCTCACCATTTGTGAGTTTGAGCCCCGCATTGGGCTCTCTGCTGTCAGGGCAGACCCCACTTCGAATCCTCTCTTTCCCTCTCTCTGCCCCTCCACCTGTTTGCATGCGTGCACATGCTCTCTCTCAAAAATAAAACAAAACATTAAAAAATAACAATAAAAGGAAAAAATATAGTAAAGAAATTACACACGGTACCTTTTCTAAAGCAACATGTAGTTCTTTTTCACATTCTGGTGGCAATCTCAAAAGTAGAACCTGACAGGCATCTTTAATCAGTGGAACAACACTGAGAAATATTAATACGGCAATAAAAAGAGAACAGAGGGGATCAGCAATGAACCATCCAAACTGCTCTATAAGAACTGTGGATACGATCACACCAATACTGCCAAGCGTGTCTGCCAAAACATGTAGAAATACACCTGCAAGTAAAACACATGAAAACATTAAAAATTAAAGCACATCTAATTTAGTTCTTTTATCCATTTTATAAACAATACTGGGTATCTACTATGCACCAGAAATTCTGCTAGGGGATGGTACTTAAAAAAAAAAACCAACCAAAAACAAGGTCACTGCTCTCAAACAATTCACAGACCAGTGGTAAAGGGAAAATGTAGGCAACGGTAACAGAGAGTGTTAAGTTTTATGATGGTGTGGTTTTCCTAGAAATCACACATGAGCCAAGTTTTGACATTATGCAAATTACTTCTATTAAACCATCAGAATATATAATTTAACACAGTAAGTGATAAAAATTCCCCCATGTATATTTATAATACAATAAAAATTTCCTGGTTCTTTTGTAGTGAAAGTTCATAATGACACACTCAGTGTTCCCGTTCCAAATAATATTTATGCAAATGTCACAGGAAAAGGACTCTATAATAATCTGTTTAAAAATTGACATTTATGAACCAATGTGAGCATTTTCTACAACAGATGACTTTATTTATTTTTTAACCACGGATTGTTTTACAAAAATAAAGCTGTACCAGAAGCCTAATACTTAATACAAGTAAGACAGTGTCAATTCAGAACACAACTGAAAGGTAGGACAATATTTGGCAAGGACTCACCCCTCATGTTAGCATTCATGCCTCTGCCTGCAGATCCGTGGCTGTGACCATGTCCGTGGTCACTGTGTCCATGCATATGGTGGGAATGGCTGTGATCAGATGAATGACAGCTTCCCTGAGAAGCTCCATGGTTATGGTTATGGGCATGGCTAAAGGCACAGATACCAATAAGGTTTACTATCAGCCCTCCAACTGAGACTGGCTAGTAAAAGGAGAAAAGAAAACCTTCAATTTGTAGTTAAAAAAATAAATTTGTTACTTAAAAGTTACTACAGATCTAAATGTTCTTCTGTTTATGGTTTTAAAAGTATTTATGGTAAAACCTCACAAAGTTCAATAAGGAAATTCAGAAATTTTATTTACTTATTAATGTAGTTTTGTTTGGAAATCCAAAATTTTTAAAAATCAGATTTTTGAGTATTTTAGAAGAAACATTTTTAACTTCCCAAAACCAAAGTTTTGGCAAGTAGAAGGATTTGGACTTGCTTTAAGCAAGTGATTAAGAATAATATGCACCTGGTTCATGGTTTATGAATAAATAATTATGCTAAAGTTTTGTTTTGTTTATTTAAATAGAGTTTGAAAGTACTGCTTAAGTATACACTGTAGTTGAAATATCATTTATATTACTAGGTAAATTTCAGTTTGTAAGGCAATGATTATAATTTACTAACTAGTAGATTCCAAATACATACAGTCTTATTGTGTCTTAAATACAGTAAAATTTGCCAAAGTAAAAAAAAAAAGTATAATGGAAAAGCAAAGATATAAATGGCATTGTCTGGATTTAATAATGCCACAACAACATCCTAAAGGATACATAAAGTTACTTATCCTTGATTATCCTTACAAAATGATTTTGGGTAATAGTTAAGGGTGTTATTTAATTTATGTACGTCTACAATTTCTCCTTCAGAGAAATTCATTTGATTTATAAAAAGAATATATAAAAATAACGGGTACAGATAATTCTAATCAATTTCCAAAGGATGTAAGAGAAGAGATTTACTTTAGTAATCATATATGGAAACTATGTATTTCTTATTGTGGTTCATTTGTTTGTCAGACTTTAAAATTTTAGTTAGCTTTATGAGCTTGAAGATGGTTACTGAACTTTGAATTAAATCAAATACTGCATAAAGAGATCCCCATCAGCTCAACTACTTGTCCTCTAATGATAAATACTTCATTTGTATAGATTTCACCAGAAAAAAAAAAACAACATAGAAAGTATAATCCCCCATATAATTCTAACCCTGAGTTAGTCACTAAGAGAATAGTGTACACTCTATGCATGTACTAAAATACATACATCAATCCCCTTTTAAACCAATAATAGCATCATGTTATAATACTGCTTTGGAAAATTTTTTTTAACTTAGTACAGCTTACAAATATTTTTCATGCCTGTATATACAGATGTGCCTCATTCTTCTTACTGGGCACCTAGTTTTCTATAAACAACATCTTTATTTAATTAGTCTTTTTATTGATTTTTTTTTGCCATAATGAACAATGGCACAATGAATCATGCACCTTTACACACCTGTGCAAGTATTTCTGTAATAAATATTAAAGGTTAAAGGATGTGAGCATTTAAAATTCAAAATATATTTCCAAACTGTAATCCAAAGCATTTTACTAACATATACTTCCACCAACCAGATTCATAACTACAAACCAGGTGCTAGAATTTAACACTTAATAATAAACCATTCAGGTCCCCAAGATACTTCACTTACATCTTTAATTGTGGAAGAATGACAAAGGAGTTAACTCGATGTTGCTTAAAAAAAAAAAAAAAAAAGCAAGATACAATGCGAATAGTGAGAAAGGGAAATCTAAGAAACTGAGGAAGGAAGACAGGAGTTAAGGGAAAATCTCTCACTTGAGACAACAAGCAAAGTCTTGAGGAAGGTGGAAAGGCAGATGTGAGGGAAGGGCATGCCAGCTTCAAGAAACAGCACATATAAAGGTATGGCAATACAGGGAGAACATTAAAAATTTCTAACAGTAAATAATCTGTAAGATAAAGCCTTTAAAATGATAGTATTTTTCTGATTTGCTAACATTTTGCAAATTTCCTCAGGTATTTAAAAGCACATCTTGGGGCACCTGGGTGACTCGCAAGTGTGGAACTTTTGATTTTGGCTCAGGTCATATGTCGCGGTTTGTGAGATCAAGCCGCACGTCGGGCTCTGCTCTGACAGCCAGAGCCTGCTTGCAATTTTCTCTCTTCCTCTCTCTGCCCCTCCCCCATCCATGCTTGCTCCCTTTCAAAATAAATAAACATTAAAAAAAAAAATAAAAGCACATCTTCATACAAAAACACTGGATAAGTCAGAAAGATATCTGTTATGTATTAGAATGTCATCTAATATTCTGACTGCTAAAATATGAGAGAAAAGGATTAATTTCTAAGAGTCAGCAGTGTAAATGTAAATACAGGGTCAAGAGCTTATGTTAATTTAAATTATAAAAATAAAGTAAAACCTTCCTACATCAATAATTACAGGTAGTTAAACTTTAGCATGGAGAAAGCTAAAGGGGTTATGAGTAGAAAATCAAACAGGAAAAAAAGAGACTTACTGTTAACATGTGTGTGTCTAATTCCGGAGGATCAATTAATCTAGCCACTGACTCCATAAACACAAAAAAAGCTATTACCATTAGAAAAAGTCCATTAATAAATCCAGAGAGAATTTCTATTCGGCCATACCTAGAAATGTAAAAAATATTTTCAGAAAGGAAAATGACAAATATTTTTATTTTATTTTTATTTATTTAAATTTTTAATGTTTATTTATTTTTGAGAGAGACAGGGTGCGAGCAGGGGAGGGGCTGAGAGAGAGGGAGACACAGAATCCAAAGAAGGCTCCAGGTTCCGAGCCATCAGCACAGGGCCTGATGTGGGGCTCGAACTCACAAATGGTGAGATCATGACCTCAGCCAAAGTAGGCCGCTCAACCCACCCAGACGCCCCTACAAATATTTTTAAAGCATAAACATTATTATGTTACAAAAGAGGATATATAAGTCTAGATCTTCAATTATGTACATAATCAGTAAGACTAGAAAATTATCAAGATTTTAAACACCACACCAATGCTGAAAGAGTCTTTCTGTATATGTTTGTTAAAATTTTAAATATTTATCAAAGTCCTTCTTCAATGTTCTCTCTTATACAAGGCCTTGCCTAAATTTATTAGCAAGAAGTTACTTCTCTCTCCTTTAAGCCTTTGATGGGCTCTGTACCTCTGTCACAACACACAGATTCTGCTTTGTACCAAAATTATTTGTATCTTTGGCCCCTCTTTCAGAATATAAACAGTTGAAAAGAGCTGAATTTATCAATCTATTTAGGGTCTTATCAAAATTCATCATATAAATCAGGGATTTTAGTATTTGTTGAAATGAATTCAGTTGAAATGAATTCAGTTAATGAAAGGGCATTTCATGCATAGCCACTTCAAAGTTTGAATACTGTTTATAACAGCAAAGATGTGAATGACCATGCACATTCCATTGTCTCAAAGAAACTGTTAGGCAAAGAGCTCAAAATCTAACTAATTTTTGCTACCTCCATGTAAGATGGATTTGGCAGAGAGTATAATCTTGAGCTCACTGCCATTCAGTATCATGCTTGGTTTATTTCCTCTTAATTCAAATTAAAGAAAAAAAAGCTCTGAAAAATTATTTGTATTAAAAGTAATATAATTGTATTTTCTGGGGTGCCTGGGTGGCTCAGTGCATGGGGGGCCAACTCTTGATTTCAGCTCAGGTAATGATCTCATCAGGCTCTGTGCTAACAGCATGGAGCCTGTTTGGGATTCTCTCTCTCCCCCTCTCTCTGCCCCTCCTCCACTCACGCATGCAGGCATATTCTCTCTCCCTTTCAAAATAAATTAGAAAAAAATTTTTTTTTAATTTTATTTCCTAAGATGGAATTTGCCCTGAGAATTTTTTCATTTTGTTACATCACCTTGATGGTCAAGGTACCTACCCATAGGAGAAAATCCGAGTAGCTTTCCATCTACTCATCAGGGCTGCAAAAAGTCCCATGACCAAAGCAGAGCAGTCAAAGAGCATGTGAAATCCATCTGAGATCAGACCCAGACTATTGGTCAACACTCCATAGAATAATTCCACAAAGGTAAAAAGCTAAAATATGTTTAAAGACAAATAGGGGAGGAATGTGTTGGGAAATACTGTTTCAATACATTTATCAGAATGCAATCATGACAATTTTAACCGTTTATTACACAAACCTTACTTGATGATATAACTGCTATTTTATTTCATTTCATATAAACTGTTAAGATACTAAATCAGATAGGTTCATCTTACACATCATTTAAAAGGAGACAGTTTCATTTATATGACTGTAGAACTCAATAAACTAGGCTACAAAAATGTTAGCACTGTGGTCTGTAGTGAGATCCTGTAAGAAGTAGATAAAAATCTTTACAGGATACTATATTTACTGATTTGAAATAGTACACTAAACTGATGCAACTAAAATGCCTCAAAAGTTGCATAAGTAGTCTGAATATGATCCTTTAATCTTCCTATTACTTACAGAAAATATAGTTTTAGCCCCTGATGATCAAAATTTTGGTAATTACTAAAATTCTACCAGAAATATCAAAATTAAAAGATTAAACTTTTTAAGGTATGTCATTAATATTTAAAAATCTTACCAGATTCAAGCACAAGAAGTAAAAGATCTGCCTAGAGTCATTTTCCTCAAGAATTTGTTTTAGTGATTCCTTAATAAACCTAGGGATCGATTGGGAGCTATGCTGAAAAGCATCACCCATGAAGTTATAAAGAGGTGTTCCTTCAGGAGAATATCCAATTAGAGTGCCTTTCTGTCCTCTCTTAGAAGGAGATGATAAGATGTTGGCAGCTAAAAAAAGGAAAAAAAACCCATGAACATTATAAAAGCTTTAAAAGCTTAAGCTACCAAACCAACACCGTACCTGTCAGCACTAAATGCAAGCACTGAACAAATTCCCAAATTAAGTAAATGACTTCCACACCAGAATCCATAAGATGAAATTTCCTAAGGGGAAAAGTGCTCACACAAAATGAAGAATATAGCGCTCACTACCACTCCTCCGGACAGGACGTGTTCAGTGCTTTCCTGGTGTGCTGCTCTGTTCATAGCTCGAAGCTGGTCTGTTATTGGATGTGTCCAAAAGTTTCCAAAGAGTAAAGCACTAATAAAAATGGGAAAGGATCCATAGCGGGCACATTTGGAAACTTCCATTTTGACTGAACATACAGAATCGACATAGAAATCCAGGATCATGACAAAAAAGATAACTGTTGTGAAAGGCATAATGAGAGAAAACCAAGACTCGACTTTACTCTAGGAATTAAACAGAGAAGAAAAAAAGAAATTGTCAGTACTGCACAGGTATAAAGTTCATATCTTATGTTTTAGTTAATCTCTTTATATATAAACAAATACTGTGATTAAATATGATTCATAAAATGCCAAAATATAAGAGATATAAAATATTACTGCATTTTCCTAGTAGTCCCCAAAGTATTAACAAACAAAAGCATTATGGTTTAATAATTTTATAAATACTAAGTGATCCACAATCCTTGTGTATAAGTAACACATGGTTAAGTATTAAATTGTGTCTTTTTTTTAAAATAAATTTTTTTTTTTGGAACCGCGATGCTTTCCAAGGCACGGGCCCCTCTCTCGGGGCGAACCCATTCCAGGGCGCCCTGCCCTTCACAAAGAAAAGAGAACTCTCCCCCGGGCTCCCGCCAGCTTCTCTGGGATCGGTTGCGTTACCGCACTTAAAATAAATTTTTTAAGTGTATTTATTTTGAGAGATACAGAGAGTGCTAGCTGGGGAAGAGCAGAGAGAGAGAGAGAGAGAGAGAGAGAGAAAGAGAGAGAGAGGGAGAAGGGGAGGGAGAGGGAGAGAACCAAGCAGGCTCCACAGGGTCAGTGCAGAGCCTAAACAGGGCTTGAACCCACAAAACCCCAAGATCATGACCTGAGCGAAAATCAACAGTCAAACGCTCAACCGACCGAGCCACCCAGGCACCGTGTCTTTTTTTTTTTTTTTTAATGTTTATTTATTTTATTTTGAGAGAGAGAGAGAGAGAGAGCAAGCACACATGTACATACATGTGGGTGGGAGACGGGCAGAAAGAGAAAGGGACAGAAAATCCCAAGCAGGCTTCCCTTTCAGCATGGAGCCCAACATGGGGCTTGATCTCACGACCCTGGGATCAGGACCTGAGCTGATATCCTGAGTCGGATGCTTAACTGAGTCACTCCGGTACCTCCTAAATTATGTCTTTAACTGATTCCTTTGAGCTACAGGAATGGGAGGTGTATATATATATGTGATAGTACTTGATTTATATTTTCTATAAGCAATAAAAATTCCAAAAATTTTTCAAAAATTATGAAAAAAAGCAAACTTACAACACTTGTAAGCTCGAAGTGAAATAAAATACAATGTACTGAAATGAACTAAAATTTATAAGTAACAGCAATTCATTTTACTTATGACCAATACATTCCTGCTCTTACCTCAGTTGTCACAGAAAGAACAATGACCCATGGACATAAGAGAAGCACAGAAACAAGATGGGATAAAGCTTGAAGACGCTTGGCTCCACCAACATCTATAGAGAGTTTTCTGGATGCTGTATGAAAACCAACTTTACAACACAAAGCCAGTACTAGCAATAATACTCCACCCTATAAATAAAATGACATAAGTTTGATTAGAAACACACGGTTCACTCAATCCTTCAATACATAGTATTGGAAGAAATGGAACTATTATGTTTTTTCCATATCCTAAATTACCGAACTACTTAAATGTCAGGCAGTACTGTAAATTACTGATAACTTACTTTAATGCACTTTTAAAGTTACAGTTGTGGTAATTTTTCAAAATCTCTTGATTATGTTAGGAACAAAGAAAAGAACATACCTTGTGATCTGCCACACCTAAGAAGGCAATGGCTGTGTAAAGCATGTGAGTTAGAGCGCTGTCATGATGTCCTTCAGCTAAGTGAGTTGCAGTAAAGGAAGAAAAACCCCAAATATTAACTCTTTGAATTCTGAGGTCCTCCTAAAATTTTAGCTACATTATTTTGGGTTGACTAGAGACTAGTTTGGGAACCCCAAACCTGACTACCTGCAACAATATATTGCCCTTAAAAACAAAACAATTAAATATTTAATTTTGGGACATAATTTATAAATTGGAATGGCTTGTATTTTTGTTGTCTCCAAAACAATTATAATAGTGCTTGAGATACAGTTGTTAAATTTCAGGAGTTAACCTTCAAAAGTATATGCATGCATACTATGAGTAGGGCAAAGGGATAAGGCCAAGGAACATTTTGGACCATTCCTACCAAGGAATTAAGGTTGCTCTTTCAGAACAAGAGGTTGAATCAATCCTAAATCTATTTCTAAATCACTGACCACGTAAGCCTCAGTAAAGCAGCAAGTAGAAAGGGTTGGTGGGGCGGAGACATATCACAAGCAATGTGGAGTTTTGCAGTCATGCCACCCTCTTTCAGTCTAAGAAAGTAAATTGTTGTTTTTTTTTTTTTAATTAAATTTTTTTTTTCAACGTTTATTTATTTTTTTTGGGACAGAGAGAGACAGAGCATGAACGGGGGAGGGGCAGAGAGAGAGGGAGACACAGAATCGGAAACAGGCTCCAGGCTCTGAGCCATCAGCCCAGAGCCTGACGTGGGGCTCGAACTCACGGACCGCGAGATCATGACCTGGCTGAAGTCGGACGCTTAACCGACTGCGCCACCCAGGCGCCCCAAGTAAATTGTTGTTTAAGTAACAGGCTCTAGAACAGTATCAGTAACCAGAAGAATTAAAACTGGTGTTCCAAGTTCTGCTAAGTGGAGCGGGCAAAGGGGTATGGACAGGCAGGAACAAGGCATGTCTGTTTGTAGAGGAAAAGGGGTATACTTATTTGACTGGAAAGTTGGGGTTATAGAAGAGTAGAAGCTGAACTGGAAATAACAGTTTAGAGCAAGAGAGTGATTACCAGGTTAAGGAATTTCAACTTCTTCTTTTCGGCAAGAAGATGCCAAAGATTTTTCATTAAATTTCAAAAAAAAGTTTATATTTAATAATTGCAACTGACTTCTAAATCAAGTATTTGAATTGTTAAATTTGTTACAAGGGAGCCAACAGATTGATTTTGTTGACTGGCAAATCCTTTTTTTTTGTTTTGTTTTAAGCACCAGGACATTCTAAAATATTCTTTCACTGTCTCTGTAGAATATATTGATTAGGACGCCATAAAATATTTAATTTAGAATAAATTTACTCATTATTTGAATACCTACATTAACTCATGGAAGTTTCATTCATGACTGATCAGTTTAATTCAATCCTCCTTGTCCCATTCTGCCAGTTTCCTATTTTCAAGACTATATAATTCCAATCTATTGCAAAAGGATACGGTGTTCAGCCATTTTAGCCATGAGATCATCATTGTCGAAAAGCAACAGGCAGATCACAGCAATAATGAAAAAAGCAGCCCCTCTTGTCTGAAAATGAAGAAAATATTACTTAGGATGACTATTTTAAGAGTTGATTTTTAAGACCATGACTATACAAATACTAAAGAAATTGTTTTCAAATAAATATGTGAAGAAAAAATAACATCTGACATTAAAGCCCTTCTACTATATAACATAAATAAGCAGTATTAACAGATAAAAAAAGCAAAGAGCTATAACAAATTCTGCAGAATAGTTTAAGGGCATTTAACGCACATAATAATGATGACTTCAACTGTCTCCTTGTTCATAGGACTAGGCATGTTACCATGCACAAACCATTTATGTTTGCAGAATTAATATCCCTAAATGTTATTTTGCTTCGGGTTGAAAAGCTCAAGAAGCTACAGAATTATTAGCATGAACTTACTTTATTCTACAACATGCAAGTGATAGACAGTTAATTTACAGTTAATTATTGATAATAATATCAATATTCTAGTTATGACTCTTCTATGGAAACAGAACTAAGAGGGCACATTAAGAAAATTGGCAGTCATTTCTCATATCCAGTAAAGGTGCAGAGCATTTAAAAGCTGATAAATTTTTAAATTTTATATTCTCATTCCAGGGAAAGGATTTTGATGAAAAAAAAAATCATAGGAGGAACATACTGCCTAGTTTATGCAAATACTTCAGAATTTTGGGTATAAAAGCCATCCAAATACATTATTATACATCCAAATGCATTATTATACATTCTGTATTTATAAATTTATAGGTGTACTACCATACACCTTCATTAAATAAAAGTTAAAATTTTAAGTGAGAGTCCTATTCATTAATGTGATCACCACTATACTTGATAAATTCTCTTAGAGTGGTGGATATTTGGACAAAAGTCAGTACACATAAACCACACAATATCAACAATACCCAGCTATGGAGAATGTAATTTAATCTTTTGTCAAAGACAGCAAATGAAATTTTGTAGTGCTTCAGTCACAGCTAAGAAAAAAACCCTGCTGGTGGATAGATGCCCAGATTTGTAACACACTAATGAGAAAATATATATGATTTATACTCTCATTTCTGAGTCTAACTGCAACAAATTTTTTGTTTTTAAGTCATTTTTATTTCTTTCTTAAAAAACATTTAGTGTGTGTGTGTGTGTGTGTGTGTGTGTGTGTGTGTGTGTGTGTGAAAGAGAGTGAGAGTGAGAGAGAGAATCTCAAGCTGGCTCCATGTTGTCAGTGCAGAACCTGACGTGGGGCTCAACCTCACATCATAAGACTGAGATCATGATGGGAGCTGAAATCAATAGTCAGATGCTCAACTGACTGAGGCATCCAGGTGCCCCTAAAGTCAGTTGTATTTCTTTTGTGAGTTGTCTTTCCCCGCCCTTGGATCATTTTTACTGAGAATCTTAAGCATTTTTCTTAACTTACTTGAGTGATTTATATTTTAAAAGAAATGTAAAACTTTTACTTGTGGTAATTTTTGTTGTTATTGTTAGTTTGTTGTCTGCACAATGACTTCTGTTACATAGAAGGTTATAATCATAATGAAATCAAATTTACTGAGTTTTCCCATTGTGATTTTTTCCCACTGCTTTTATGCTCAGAAGGTTTTCTCCTCATAATTTATTTTATTTTACATATATTTATTTTATATATTATACATGTTTATATTATTCTGTATGTTATATATTTATGTTATTTAATACATTTTACATATTTTAATTCTACATTTATTTTATTATATATTTGTGTCCACAAAACTCTTCAATCCACTTGACATTTTTTTATTTTTAAATATTTATTTATTTAAAATAATGAGAGAGAGAGAGAGAGAGAGAGAGAGAGAGAAAACCCATGAGTGGGGGAGGGGCAGAGAGAGAGAGGGAGACACAGAATCCAAAGCAGGCTCTAGGCTCTAAACTGTCAGCACAGAGCCCAACGTGGGGCTTGAACTCACAAAACTGTGAGATCATGACCTGAGCTGAAGTTGGACAATTAACCAACTGAGCCACTCAGGTGCTCCACTTGACATTTATTACGGCGTAGTATATGAATGGGATCAAAGAAAGAGTGGCATACAGGGTACGCCTGGGTGGATCAGTCAGTTAAGCAACTAACTCTTGATTTCAGCTCAGGTCATGATCTCATGGTTTGTGAATTCGAGCCCCTTGTTGGGCTCTGTACTGATGGCACAGAGCCTGCTTGGGATTCTCTCTCTGCCCCTCTATCTCTACCCCTCTCCTGCTCACGCTCTCTTTCTCTCAAAATAAAATAAACATTGAAAGAAAAAAAATACTGGCATATGCTTTAATATTAATGATCCTATTTGAAATCTATGGGCTGGGTAGTCTCTCTGCTCTCCTTGGCATATTACTTTGTTCACTTAATTTTATTCATGTGCCTCCAATACTCAGCTTGAAACAGCTCCTTTTAGAACACGGACTACTACACCTTATTTATCTTTATTTCTCCTTTTCCCTGTAACTGGGACAATGTACCATGCACAGAAAGCATTCAATTTGGTAAAACAGAAATACTGTAGTTTTAAGAATTTGGAATTGCAGATTTATGACTCATTTACCAAAGAAGGATAATTCTTAAGTTATTTAAGATAAAGAAGGCTTCTGGGGTACCTTCAGTAGGTTAAATGTCTGACTCTCGATTTAAGGGTCATGAGACTGAGCCCTGAGTAGGTTTCTGCACTGAGTGTATAGCCTACTTAAGATTCTCTTCCAAGCCTTCTACCCTTCTCCCGCTCATGTGTGCACTCTCAAAAAAAAAAAAAGATAAATAAAGCTGCCTAGTTGGCAAAATGCTCATTAGACTTTATAAGAAGTTCTTAGGTATTTTCCAAAAATGACGAATAAGGGTTAAAAATGAGGTGTGCGAGGGGCACCTGAGTGGCTCAGGTGGTTAAGCAGCTGACTCCTGATTTTGGCTCAGGTCATGATCTCATGGTTCGTGAGACCGAGCACCGGGTTGGGCTCTGCACTGACAGTTCAGTGCCTGCTTCTCGCTCCCTCTCTCTCTCTGCCCCTCCTTTGCTCTTTTCTCTCAAAATTAATTAAAAAAAAAAAAAAAAAAGAAAGAAGAAAGAATAAGGTGGGTGACAGGCTTGGCTACAGCATGATGGAGATTTTTGTGGTGATCAAACAGTTCTGAATCTTGATAAGGTCTATGGATTATATCAATGTCAATTTCTTGGTTTCCATAGTGTGTTTGAGTTGGGTAAGAAGTTACCACTGAAACTGAGTGAAGGGTGCTCTTCGTGCTCTTTTTGCCACTTTCTGGGAACATATGATGATTTTGGAATAAAAAGTAAAAAAAGTTTGTAAGAAAAAGTTAAAATTAGCAGAAAAAGCCCCTGAATTCTTTTATTTATTTATTTTTGAGAGAGAGAAAGTGTGTGGGCAAGCATGGGGGGAGGGGCGGAAAGAGAGGAAGAGAGAGAGAGAGACTCCCAAGCAGGCTTCCAGCTGTCAGTGAGGAGACCAATGTGGGGCTCGAACTTACGAACTGTGAGATCATGATCTGAGCGAAATCAAGAGTCAGTGCTTAACCGACTGAGTCATCCAGGCGCCCCCACCCTTACATTCTTTTAAATGCTAAAAGATATTATTTAATTGCTTTAGTTAATACTTTACACGTATACTTTCAATTTTCAAGTAACTAATAAAAGAAAATTGTACCTTTGCTGGTCCTCCTCCAGAACTAGTGAACAAAACACTGAGTAGGGAGATGACAACAATATCACTGTGTTCAAATAGCAGCAAAGTCCTAGAAAAATACAAAAACATTATCATTCACATAAAATATATCTGATCTTTACCAAGAAGTATGAATTCAACAAGAGTAAGAGAAAATAAGTATTTCTTCCTGATTTCATAAAACACTGAGAAAAATAAATAGGTACAAATGCTTTAGAATTAGCTACCTTTTGGCATTATCTACCCGGTAATACTACTTGCATGATTATATCACAACAATTTCTTGTGTACGTGTGCCAGGAAACACTTAGAAGGTTGCTCATACCAGCTTTGTTTGCAGTAGCCTCAACTTAATGCTACTGGTAAGAGAAAAATATAAATTAGAGTGTATCTATTCAATGGACTATTTTACAACAGTAAAAAATGAATTAAATTATATGAATATATTAAAAAATGGTGAATACTACACTTTAAATGTGTTATAGACTGCATGTTTGCATCCCCTCTAATTTTATATGTTGAACTCAATCCCCAGTGTGAATCCCCTCATGAATGGAATTAAAGCCCTCATATAAAAGACGATAGAGCGCTCCCTTTGCCCCTTCTGCCATGTGAGGTTATAGAGAAACCAGGAAGCAGTGCCTCACCAGACAGTGAATCTGCCTCACCTTGATCTGAGACTTGCCAGTTTCCAGAACTGTGAGAAGTAAATTTGTGCTGTTTAAAAGCTACCCAGTCTTTGGTATTTTTGTTATAGCAGCCCAAATGGACTGAGAAAAAAGGAATGAATCTTAAGGTATGTGAATCTTATATTTAAAAATTGCCATAAAAATGAACTATATATATATAACATGCATCAAGATGGGCAAGTCTCAAACATAAATTTAAATGCAAAAAAGTACACTGTAGAACATACACGCAAAATCATCTATGTACATAAAGTAAAAAACTTGTAAACATTAAAAAAAAAACCACAATTAAACATTAAAAAAAAAAAGACTTAGGTACATATTTGAAAAAACTATAAAGGAAACCAAGAAAATGAAAAACAAAACTTAAGATGCTGACTACACCCAAGGGTAGGGGGAGATGGGGATACAGTCAGTAGGGAAACACCAGCATTCAAAGGCATTGGTAAGATAGGTATTTTTTTTTTTTTAAGTTTATTTCAAGACAGAGAGAAAGCAGACAAGGGCAGAGAGAGGGGGAGACAGAAAATATCAAGCAGGCTTTGAACTATCAGCACAGAGCCTGATGTAGGGCTTGAACTTACAAACCATGAGATCATGACCTGAGCTGAAATCAAGGGTCAGACGCTTAACCGACTGAGCCACCCAGGATCCCCATATAGATACATGTGTTATATACACATATACAGATATATATATATATATATATTTTTTTTTTTTTTTTTTTGAGAGAGAGAATGCACAAGTGAGCATGCGGTATAGGGGAGGGGCAGCAGGAGGGAGAGAGAGAATCTTATGCAGGCTCAACACTGAGGAGCCCCATGTGGGGCTTGATCCCACAACTGTGAGATCATGACCTGAGTCAAAATCAAGAGTCACTACCCTTAACTGACTGAACCAACCAGGTGCCCCCAAGTATTGGTAAGATTTTATTTGGGGGACTGGATGTTGGATACGAAAATGTTCACTATTATTAAACCTATTTCCTCTCTTATCTGTGTGAAATATTTTAAAAACTTGAAAAACTATCACCAGCAAAAACAGGGCTTATAGGATCTAAATAGTAAGATTTTCAGCTGCTCTTTTAACACATTTTCATTTTTTCTCTTTACTCAAAAATCTGTAATACAGAACACAGCAATACTAACTTTAATTCTATTAATGATTATGAGGTACAACTTAAGAAAATAAATATATCAAAAGAGTAATACCACCTGAAATGAGACAGGCTATGGAACACCAAAGAGGTCTTTTTTATTTGAGAGAGAGACAGTATGTGTGTGTGTACATGTGCATGAGGGAGAGCAGCAGAGGGAAAGAGAGAGAATCCTACGCTGGCTCCACAGGAAACATGGAGCCCACTGCAGGGCTTGATCCCATAATCCTGGGATCATGCTCTGAGCTGAAATCCTGAGTCAGAAGCTCAACCGAATGAGCCACCCAAGCACAACTCCACAAAGTCTTTCTAGTCAAGAAACTGCATGATAGTTTTTATTTTTTAAAACTTAAGTAGGCTCCATGCCCAACATGGGGCCTCAACTCACCACTTTGAGATAAAAGAGTTGCATGCTCTACCGACTGAGCCATCCAGGCACCCTGCACAATGGTTTTAATCAAAGAATGAGAGGGGCAGTGTTGGCACAGGAGCTGGCAGTGAGAGATTTTAAGGGTAGGAAGTAGAGGACTAAATAAGGAGTCAAGTAAGAATTTAACAATTTTCTCCTTCTTTCCCTACCCTAATAAGTGGGGACAGTGATTTAATAACATACAGAACAAAACATAATTTCATGGAAAAGAAACTTAAAATATTAGAGATGATAATACTGTTAATCATATTCAAGCATAAAGTGAAAAAGCTCTCCCAAGCTGAGAAAATCCAGCTGCCTTACCTACCATTCCAGGATGCTGCTGCTGTCATGGACAAAGACATGACATCTGGAATTATGTATACCCTGCATCTGACGAAGTACACGGTAAACAAGCTAAAGGGACTCAAACCTGGAAGCTATTCTATTAGCCAAAAGAGGGGAAAGGATTTTCACAAAGCATTTTCCACCTATCATTTTTACGCTGTCTACCCCATTATTCTGAGTGAGATTCTTTAAAATATCCTTAATTTTATTCCTTTCCTCTCATCATCATACCCCCCTCCTCCCAACAATGACCAGGTACTTTTTCTTATACTTTCAATCAATGAGTAAAACCCTTTAGCTACAGAGAAGCATTAAAAATGTTTATGCAGAGTTGTACATGTTACAATTCCTATTAAGTGGCCCTTAAACACCACCCTCCACCCCCGGGAATTGGTCCATTACACAAAAAGATTGCTCTATATAGATCTAGGGGAATATGAGAGTTAACTCATCTTTAATCTGATGACTGACACACTGTTGTCAAGACACTTGTTTACGACCATATTTTTTAAGATTTTCTGTTGGTAAGAGTATTTCAGAGTAGTGAAGAAAAAAGTGTTTAAATAAAGATTTTGCTCTTCTACTGGTTGATTTTATTTACCACTTCAGACCTTTTAGTTTCTAAAATCAGTTGCTAAAAGGGATCACCAAGGGATGATAAAAAGCCACCTATGCTAAAACTTTTCTGAAACTGGATTTAAAAAAAATTTTAATGTTTATTTCTGAGAGACAGAGTGCAAGCAGGGGAGGGACAGACAGAGAGAGAGACACAATCTGAAGCAGGCTCCTCTGAGCTGTCAGCACAGAGCCTGACAAAGAGCTCAAACTGACAAGCCATGAGAGCATGAACTGAGCCAGTCAGACGCCTAACTAAGCCACCCAGGCGCCCCTGAAACTAGATTCTTAACTATTAAAATATCATGACAGATCATGAACAATACATTAATGGTGTTCACCAAAAGCTAGACCACAAATTCAACAGGTTCTCTCCTTCCCTCCCTCTCTCCCCCACTCTATATGTTGAATTGTATCCAATGCTATACAAGTGATAGAAGCATTTGCACATAACATAAGCATTTGATATTATATATAATGGAAGAAAACTAATATTCAAAATTAAGAAACACAAACAAACATTCAAAATATGCACTTTTACCTTAGTGGTCCACAAAGAGTGAGGCCAAAAAACCACAAGAGTGAAATGATACACCCAGCAACTGCATGCTTAAATATTTTGATCCACTATAAATGGAAACAAAAAGTTAAAAATTTTACTCATGTATGTTTTGCTATTATCTCAAAGTCTTAAACAAAACACATAGGGAAAGAAAATAATGGTAGCACTTTAATATTTTAAAGGCTAAATAATTACGTATCTTGAAATTAAATAGAAAATGTTAAGATCCTTTGACTAAATCTAGATTTGTAAGACAGTAGTCTGTTTTCCATTTTCTATATTCTCATCTGTTGTTAGATTTTGAGATCTTTTTCTATAGAGTATAATTTTTTTTTTCCATTAGTTTCTCATTACTTTGCTAGGAACATGTATTGTTTTAGTCTTTAAATTCTTTTCTAGAGATATTCAGAGCTTTAATTACTTCAAAAGAGGAAAAAAAGTTATGATGGGGTTTAAAATATTAATCCCATTTTTTAAATTTTTTTTTTTTTCAACGTTTATTTATTTTTGGGACAGAGAGAGACAGAGCATGAACGGGGGAGGGGCAGAGAGAGAGGGAGGCACAGAATCGGAAACAGGCTCCAGGCTCTGAGCCATCAGCCCAGAGCCTGACGTGGGGCTCGAACTCACGGACCGCGAGATCGTGACCTGGCTGAAGTCGGACGCTTAACCGACTGCGCCACCCAGGCGCCCCAATTAATCCCATTTTTAAAACACGCATGGTCTCTAAAAGAGAGGTACCTACATTTGTCATTTTAATAAAAAATTGCAGTGCAAGTTTCTAAGTTGTCGCATACAGCAAACACGTAGTAGGATATACCTCTACTGTCCAAAGAGGTGATAATATGAGGTGACTATGCAAAATGCAGGACATTTCTGCTATGTATCCTGAACTTCAGGGGTCTATAGAAAATAATAATGAAGTTGAGAGTAACAGCTAATACTTACTGCATAGTCACTATATCCCAGGCACTACTTCAAGAACTTTATATGTATTAATTCATTTATTCCTCACAGCTTCATTACAATGGTATTATTAACTCCATTTCATAGGTGAAAATATTAAGGTAGAAATTAATTAACTTGTTCAAAGTAAAAGTTTGTAAGGACAGACAGAATATGCATCTGTCTGCCTCCAGAAGCCTCATTCTTAACCCCTATGCTTTATCTGCCTCCTCATGACACTTGTACTAGGCTCTTGGGTATGTCTCCATGTCTCATTCATAAATCTTTCAGAATAAGGATACTGCATTACAAAAAAAGTACTGTATACCTTAATGTTTTTCTACTTTCTTCTTCATATTTTTTTTTACCCTATGACCCAGCAATAGCACTGCTAGGAATTTACCCAAGGGACACAGGAGTACTGATGCATAGGGGCACTTGTACCCCAATGTTTATAGCAGCACTCTCAACAATAGCCAAATTATGGAAAGAGCCTAACTGTCCATCAACTGATGAATGGATAAAGAAATTGTGGTTCATATACACAATGGAGTACTACACGGCAATGAGAAAGAACGAAATATGGCCCTTTGTAGCAATGTGGATGGAACTGGAGAGTGTGATGCCAAGTGAAATAAGTCACACAGAGAAAGACAGATACCATATGTTTTCACTCTCATGTGGATCCTGAGAAACTTAACAGAAACCCATGGGGGAGGGGAAGCAAAAAAATAAAAGAGGTTAGAGTGGGAGACAGCCAAAGCATAAGAGACTCTTAAAAAATGAGAACAAACTGAGGGTTGATGGGCGTGGGAGGGAGGGGAGGGTGGGTGATGGGTATTGAGGAGGGCACCTTTTGGGATGAGCACTGGGTGTTGTATGGAAACCAATTTGACAATAAATTTCATATACTGACAAAAAAAAAAAGATTTTATTTTTAAGTAATCTCTACACCTAGCATGGGGCTCGAACCCAGAACCCGGAAATCAAGAGTCACACATTCTACGGACTGAGCCAGCCAGGTACTACCCTCTTCTGCATGTTTAAACATTCTGTAATCTTAACACTTTAGTTTACTCTTAAAGCCTCAATACTGAAAGACAAATCAAGACCAAGTTAACTCTGGAAATAATCTGCTGTGTACTTAAGTCATTTTTTAAGTAACCATGCTCAAAGAAAGGGCACTGTCTCTTGGCCCACTAACTAGGAAGCTGCTAGGAAAAAAGAATTGTGCAAAAAACTCACCTGGTGTTTGGTAATACTTTTCCCAGAAGAAAATGGCTTTTGAAACAAAACCATAAAAAATGCAGTTCTGTGGATATTGAAACATTAATATATTAATATTTGTCTTATATACAAGGTGTAATCTTAAGATATTTATCTTAAACAAATACACTAGAACTTGAAAGGTATGTTACCCTCTAAAAATTATACTGGAGAACAGTATTTATTCAAATAAAGCTTCCACTGCAACATTTTGGGGAATGCTTATTTTGTAATTATCTTCAGAACCAATTCACAAGCCACAAAAGGAGTCTCAGTGTTTTTTCATACTGGGAAATACCAAAAAAAAAAAAAAAAAAAAAAAAAAAACCTATCTTCTCCAAAATTTAATAACAAATCTTGAAATAAAAGAAATGAAGAAAGTACTTATTGTATGTCTTCAGGTTTCACATTCCCAAAATGATTATGTAAAAATGCATACAACTGCTTAAAATTTCCTAGTAAAGAATCACTTTCCATAATTACTAAAATTAACTCCCAGGAGTCTTTAATAATAGACTGTTATTAACAGAAAGTGGTCACCATCAATCTCAAGATCTAGAGAAACTTTATTTACAGAGAATTTCTTGTAATATGCAGACTAATGTAAATTTATATTATATGAGGACCCTGTAGTGTGAAGGGAACATATAATGAACAAAACCCAGCACAGATTAACTTAGAAAATAAGGAACATCTGTGCCAAGACAAGTCTCAGGTAACATTCTACCTGCTGGAAGGCTGAACTACACCAGTGGTATGGTCTGGTGACTCTTTTAGGGAAACTGTAGCATCAAAACTACTTCTACAAAAATTCTAACAAATTATCTGCTCTTTTCACTTTTATGCTCTCAGGGGTATACAGTGGAGCTCTTCAGAGGTTAACTGATAAAAGAGATCCTGCAACAGACTGAACGCTGAAACAGATATGAGAACTTAGCAATCTTCTATTAAGCTGGACATTAAAAGAAATCTACAAAAACTTCATTAATGCAAAGTACAGTATAAGTCTAGTTTTGGCAAGCTATTACAGTACAATAGTCATTTAAACAATTCTCTTTGTACCTCTAACCTTGGGTATTCTATTTTTTTATTAAATTATCATACATTAGTGAGGAGGGATAAATAGCATAATATATTCTATCTAAAATTTCTTAAAGATACTCAGTTAAAACAGGAGTTTCAAATAAATAAAACATAAGGAAAACGGAATCACACACACTCACCCAAGTTTTAATATAAAAATGAACTGAACAATGTGAACTGCTTTTAGGAGATCGTATGATTCAAAAAGTCCCACAGCCTTCAAAAATTTAGTCAAACATAGTAACACAATATATTTTGTTAATCTGAAAAATAAAAGCAGAAACAAGTTTCAGTATCATTAAAATCACAAGGAACTCTGTCATCTGTTCTTTTCTTATTATACAAGTATTGGGATCATTATAAAAACCTCAGATATTCATTAAAAACATCAAACAAAAGCCCAAACAACTCACCACCTACATAACTACTATTAATATTTTGGTATATATACTTGCAGATTATGTTCTTTTTAATGTTTATTTATTTATTTTGATGGAGGAGGGAGGGGCACAGAAAGAGGGAGAGAATTCCAAATGGGCTCTGTGCTCTCAGTGTGGAGCCTGACTCAGGGCTCGACCCCATGAACTGTGAGATCCTGACCTGTGCAGAAATCAAGAGATGGTCTCTTAACGAAGTGAGCTGCTCAGGTGCCCCCAGATTCTTTTCAATGTATAGACCATGTGTCTATGTATATGTGTGTATGTGTGTGTATAGTCTGTTGAAAAAGACACCAAACTCTACCTGCAATGAAACTAGAAGAGCACACTGTAGGAAGAAACAGAGGAATGGTAAATGCCTTAGATTTACCCCTCCTCTGCTTTGCTATGTGGCTGCAGTGAAAGTCATGGTTGAAAAATCAAACAACCTGCCCTACAGAGTCTTGTAAAGGCTCAGGAATCTGAAGCACCTGAGAAAGGCCTGGGGAGTTAAAAAGAGAAGCATCAAGAAGTCTTCCAAGTAGTTAGATCCCCACATTTTCACCCAGCAGAGCCAGGCAACTACCTCTCCTCAATCATGACAGGACAGATGAGGCTTAGCTTCTGGAGACGTCTAGACAAAAGGCAAAGAGAGGAGGCATGAAGTGCTAGAATAAAACCATGGAAATTAAAGGAAGTTTCTTAACACCACCCCACCTCCCTTTCCTCTTCTACCTCCAATATTCTAACGGCTGGGCTGCAATCTCCCAGCAGAACCCTTCTAGGGATCCACTAGGGTTACGCCTCACACAGGTATTCATTCTAATTAGCTTTTTAGCCCTCACTCAAATATGAATAGCAAACATAGATAATCAATTTTTAAGATAAGCTTATGAAAGGCCAAACAAACATAAACAACAAATTTAACAGATAAAGATATTACAGGTAATAGCAGAAAACAACAAAGAATAATAAATAATATTCTCTGAGATAGAAGAAAGAATATTGCACGCATGAAAAAATTAGCTGCCATAAAAAAAAAGAAAAAAGGAGCTCTTGAAAAAGAAACTAAAATTAGGGAAGAAATTACTTCAGTTTTCTAGCCTAGTAGTTTTCTTAGAACAAAACCATTATTCTTTGAATGAAACCCATTATCTGTGTGTACATTGTAACCGTGTAATATTGAACCGTGAATACTGTAATAATGAACATTATAAAACATACACAAATTGGAAATAAAAAAGAAATAAAAAGTTGAGAAATTTACTATTTTTTCCTTCACCCTAATAGGAGATCTTGTGTAAGTAATACTCAGGAGACCACTTTTTAAGTTTACATCAAACAGGTGTTAGTACATTAAAAAGTAGGTGTAAGGGATGTCCAAGGCCAGCACACTGGCAGAGATGAGAAGTCTCTACCAATGGGAGAAAAAATCCAAAAAGCAAACAGAATTTTAAAAGAAACCTAAGTCACTCAGAGTTAAAATAATCTGACATCAATGGGGATATCAATGTATATAGGACAGTATAAAACTTGATGAATGTGAATAATCAAGTGCCATGGCAGTGAATTAACATGAAAGAGCTAAACTACACTAAACAAACAGTAATCTGATTAAGAAGGCATGAAAATATAGATTTTAGGAAGATTTTGATGCAATTATTAAAATAAATTTTAGTCCTTGAAAGAATGAATCTCAGCATCTTCACCAGCCAAGATGGCTCATTTTCTGTTTTAGTCCAGATAGTATCACACTAAATTTAAAAAAAGAAAAAAAGATTTGAAGCAAAGTGGTTTTTCTTATCATGAACATAATCTGGGGGGCTTTTATAAGTGCAAACTGGGGATTTTAACTATGTGAAAATTAATCTCCCAAAAGCTAATAAAAATGTTATTGTCGAATCATGTAAGTCACATCCTAAAGCATTCTAAAGAAGTTCCCATTTAACCCATTTGTTGATCAGTATAAACTTTCTTAAAATTTCTGTTTAAAAGATCAATCAGGGGGCGATGGGTAGCTTAGTTGGTTCAGTGTCTGACTTCTGCTCAGGTCACAATGTCACAGTTTGTGAGTCTGAGCCCCACATAAGACTGTGCTAACAGCTGACAGCCTGGAGCCTGCTTCAGATTCTGTGTCCCCTCTCTCTGATCCGCCCCCACTCATGCTGTGTTTCTGTCTCTCTCAAAAATAAACATTAAAAAAAAAAAGATAAATCAGATTTTCTGGGATAATAAAAAATGTCCTATAACTTGATTATGATGGAAGTTACATAAGTTTACACATTTGTGAAAAATGCAAACTTACACCTTTAAAATAAAGTGATTTATCTATCTATTTATTTATTTATGAGAGAGAGAGAGAGAGAGAAAGAGCGAGAGCATGGGAGAGCACATGCACACAAGCAGGGGAGAGGGACAGGAGAAAGAGAGAAGGAGAAAGAGAGAAAGAGAAAGAGAGAGAGAGAGGCAGGAAGGGAGGGAAAATCTTACTCAGGCTCCACTCAGAGTGTGGAGCCCCAGGTGGGGCTCGACCCCACGACCTTGGGATCATGACCTGAGCCAAAATTAAGAGTCGGAAGCTCAACTGACTGAGACACCCAGGCACCCCAAGTGTGTTTTGTTTTTGTACTGTCTGTAGACTGGCTAAAAACACACAGTACAACAAAAGAAATCTACCAAATGTCTAGCAATTGTACAAGTATGAAAGTAAATGTACATTGTGCTAGAAAAAACTGAACACTAACACCTTAGAAATTCTCTAGTTCAATTCCTCTCCTGTCACAGATTGGGGAATTAAAGCCCACAAAGTTAGCTAGGGTCAAGCCCCTGTCCCTTAAGTATGCTCGCTTTATTTATTTATTTATTTATTTAATTTTTAAAAAATTTATTTTGAATGAGAGAGCGCACAAGTGAGGGAGGGGCAGAGAGAGAGGGAGAAAGAGAATTCCAAGCAGGCTTCATGATATCAACTGAGACACTGACAGGGGGCTCAATCCCATGAACCATGAGATCATGACCTGAGCCGAAATCAACAGTCTGTTACTTAACTGACTGAGCCACCCAGGTACCCCTTTATTTTTTAAGTAGGCTCCATGCCCAATGTGAGGCTTGAACTCACGATCCGGAGATCAACAGTCACATGCTCTACTGACTGAGCTGGCCAGGTGCCCAAGTATGCTCTTTATAATAAGTCACACACAAAATCAAAGTTCATCCAAAGGCTTTGAGGGTTCCCATCTCAATTACACATTACACATTCATAATAATTTATTACACATTGTAATTATTACACATTTATAGTGGCTCACACAAACAGTAAAATCATCTTTAAATTATACATTTGTGGGGCGCCTGGGTGGCGCAGTCGGTTAAGCGTCCGACTTCAGCCAGGTCATGATCTCGCGCTCCATGAGTTCGAGCCCCGCATCGGGCTCTGGGCTGATGGCTCAGAGCCTGGAGCCTGTTTCCAATTCTCTGTCTCCCTCTCTCTCTGCCCCTCCCCCATTCATGCTCTGTCTCTCTCTGTCCCAAAAATAAAATAAATGTTGAAAAAAAAAATTAAAAAAAATAAAATAAAATAAAAAAAAATTATACATTTGTAGTGGCCTACACGAATAGTAAAGTCACCTTTATTAAAAAAATTTTTTTTAATTATTTTTTAGAGAGAGAAAGACAGAGTGTGAGTGGGGGAGGGGCAGAGAGAGAGGGAGACAGAATACAAGCAGGCTCCAGGCTCTGAGCTGTCAGCATAGAGCCCTACACAAGGCTCGAACCCATGGACTGCAAGATCATGACCTGAGTCCAAGTCAGACGCTTAACCCAGTGAGCCAACCAGGAGCCCCAAAATCATCTTTAAATATGAAAGACAAAATGCACATTAAAGCCTAGGATTAATTTATATTTTGGCCCATTTAAGCTGGAGAAAAAAAGTCATATAGACTTTAGTACAGTGAACATATTAACTATATGAATGCTAAGTAAATATTCTGGTCAGGGTAGCAATTCAAAATTAACCAATGAAAATAAAAGTTGGGCTAGAAATCCACTGTTTATTAGTTCAAAACCCAGGGACCGTCATTATATGTGGTCAGCAAATGTTCGCCAAATGAAAGAATGCGAACTCTACAACTACACTTATGCGTTACAGTACCATCTCATACAGTAACATATAGAGTGCAAAAACAGAGTACCTTAAGTGGTAGTCCAAGCTTGTGGCAATCTGAACTATCAGCAACCCAGGCATGGACTCAGAATGAAAGAAAAGAATGAAATCAAGTAGAGAGGGACACTAGAAACCTCAAGGGCTTTACTCCTTAAGCTCTTAATTAGGTGTAATAATAAGGCAGTAGGATAGAAGCAAGGACACAAAGAACAACAATGTCAAGATAGGGAGAGGAAAAACAAAGACCAGGAAAACCAGACAGACATACATTAAAAATCACCAGTGTGGGAATTCTCAATGTCAGCAAAGAGCCTTGTACATTCTCCATGGGGCTAGTTAGCCATTCTTCAAATTTTGTTTGCACACGTACTATATGCCGGATGCCATATGTGGCCAATGAGATCTAAGGGAAGACTGACAGGGTGGCTTCAAGTATAGCCTTCCCTCTTCCTGATAAAAGGGCAAGATCCAGCTGGAAATGCTTCTGTCTTCTTTCTGCCTTCAAGGGAGGAGCTTTATCTAAAAAATGTTATCAGAATGTTAACATTATCTAAAAAGTGTTATCCATCTTCTAACAAGCCTGAATATGAAAGCTGATACACTTAGGATGGCAGAAAGCAGAGGCAAAGAATCTGGGTCCTAGATGGTATCACCGAGGTTCTGAACAAATACCTGCAATCGCTCGTTTCTTTTATGTGAGAAGAATATATCCCTATTTGTTTAAAGCTCTTAGTTTGGTTAGTTACAACTAAATATATTTCTAGGTGCTATCTGCGACTCTTAATAGAGACAATGCTCTCAAGGAGTCTGAGGCCTAAGAAAGTGAGGCAAGCAAACAAGTATTTATGCGACCCAAATAAGTAATGGGACTTTTAAAATAGATGTAGAAGCAACTAACTCTAACTTTGGAAGCAAAGGTCTGTCTTCAGAGTTTGAGATGTGTAACTGTGTATTACAGACTAAGTAGGAATTACAATGGAAGAAAAGGGAAAGGGTATTTCAAAGCAGACAGCAGCATTTGGAAAATACTAATACTAGGATTAAGCCTTCGAATAAATGCATTTAAGCTCAATTAACCAGATCATAATGACCAGAAGTTATTAAGGAAAAGGAAGTTATTATCTTTAATAAAATTGTTCTGCCAAGATGGGGCAATAGGAGAAATTATTTCTAAGTTATTTTTATTATTTTTCTAAATGTTTTTATTTTTTAGAGAGAAAGGGAGAGGGAGAGGGAGAGAGAGAGAGAGAGAGAGAGAAAGTGTGAGTGGGGGAAGGGCAGAGACAGAGGAGGAAAGAGGACCCTAATGCAGGAATTACTTTTATAATCTCTGTAGTTTAAAAATTAAAAAAGGAATAAAGAAAATTAGTGTCATCATAATAGAGGGGGACCTGGGTAGGTTCAAACTCATAAACTCATAAACCATGAGGTCATGATGTGAGCCAAAGCTCAACCGACTGAGCCACCCAGGAGCCTCTAAGTTACTTTTGTTTAAAGTATTAATAAAACTTTAAAATAAATAAGTTGGGTACTTCAAACACAAGATTCAGTCAGAAGGAACATTAATTTAAGTAAAATAGTTCTTGATAACTTACTACTATTATGATTTTTTATTTTTTTTATTTTATATTTTTTAATGTTTATGTATTTTTGAGAGAGGGTGCGAGCAGGAGAGGGGCAGAACTCACAGACTGCTAGATCATGACCTGAGCCTAAGTTGTACTCGTGACCGACTGAGTCACCCAGGTGCCCCATATTATAATCTTTTTTAAAAAAATTTTTTTGAGGTGGGGAGAGGCAGAAAGGGGGCGGGAAGGAGAGAACTTTTTTTTTTTCCCAACGTTTTATTTTATTTTTGGGACAGAGAGAGACAGAGCATGAACGGGGGAGGGGCAGAGAGAGAGAGGGAGACACAGAATCCGAAACAGGCTCCAGGCTCTGAGCCATCAGCCCAGAGCCGACGCGGGACTCGAACTCCCAGACCGCGAGATCGTGACCTGGCTGAAGTCAGACGCTTAACCGACTGCGCCACCCAGGCGCCCCTGGGATGGAGAGAACCTTAAGCAGGTTCAAGCACCGGGCTTGATCTCACAACAGAGAGAGATAATGACCTGAGACAAAATCAAGAGTCAGATGCTTAACCAACTGAGCTACCCAGGTGCCCCTCTATTATGATGACACTAATTTTCTTCATTCCCTTTTTAATTTTTAAACTACAGAGACTATAAAGTAATTCCTGAGAAGCTGCTTGTTATTAAAATTTTAGGTAAAATGGTTCCTAACTTCCTCCTCATAGGTGACCAACTGGTCATCCTTCCAAGCCTTTTCCTTTGCACTTCCACGTAGACACATGCATATATTATATATTGACATATTTACAATTGTACACATATTTTGATATTGCTATGTGACTTTCTGTGTAACATGTTGAAGATTTTTGCTACTATTATTAAACTAGGAAAATTATTATTACATTTAGTTAAAAGTTGGACTCTGATTTTATTTTGAGAGAGAGCATTTCTTTGAGATAGAGAGAACACATGTGCAAGCACGGGGGAGGCGCAGAGAGAGGAGAGAGAGCAGGCTCTGCACTGTCAGCACAGAGTGTGATGCGGGGCTCGAACCCATGAACTGTAAGATTGTGACCTGAACAGAAATCAAGACTTGGATGCTCAAATGACTAAGCCACCCAGCTGCCCTGGACTCTGATTTTTAAAGTCTCAACGAAGTTTTCCTGCTGGCCTACAGATGAAACACCAGCTAAGGCGAAATAACCTTATACTAATAAGTAGGTATCTATAGTTCATGTTGTGCAGGGAAACACTGAAACAGCTTTATTTACTAAGGAAAGATGTGGGGGTGAGGAGAGGGAGGCTCTTCAACAGGGGCAGTGGTCTTTGAGCTACTTTCTGTGCAACTCTGGGAGACATACTTGACCTACTCAAGTTATAAATCATGATTTGCCATTAACTAGTTCCATCAAACATATCACTGGTCTTTTATATATAGGATTACAAAAATCTCTGGTTCTCTAAACCTGGAATTACTGAAATTTGGGTTTGGGCCTAAATGTGCTTCTTGGGCTTTGCCCAGCCCAGCAGCTCATGGTTCTCCAGTAAACAAAAAACAAAATCAGTGCATGTAAGGCATGGGGTTTAGGATAACTGATTCCTAGTTCAGTTATTCTTTCTGTTAACTTCTGACAATAAACTTTTTTCTATATATCAGTTTCTTGATCTGTGAAACAAGGATACTATTAGGTAGTCTGTAGCACTGTATTAAGGATTAAATTAGATGCTATACTCAAAGCACATCGGACACAGGTGTCCAACAATGTTGATCGTCACCCTGTTTCCTGCAAAGAGTACTTACAGAAGCCGAAAAGAAGGATTTTAAACAATTGTTTTAAATTGTGAATTTGGGCATAAAAATACCCACAAGTAAAGGATTTGTGAACTAGTTTCTGCTGCAGATTATAACTAGTATTGGATTATTAGTCTAGACAAAGGAAAATGCTTGCAACTGGGAATCTATTAAAAATGCAATCACTCCTGAGTTGAATTTTTCTAATGAACTACAAGAGCAGTTCTGCTAAGCAAAAGACCGTTTACTACATCTACTTAACATAGTAATCTCCTGAATAAATAATAGCTTGAAACTATTTAATAAAAATAATTTCTAGTTTACAGAAAAGTGGCAAGAATCATATACCCTTTACCTGGATTCCCTCATTGTTAATTGTCCCATTCGCATTATCTCTCTCTCTCTCTCTTTAAATACATGCGTTTTTTTCCTCAACCACTTAAGAATAAGTTACTTACAACACATTTTTTACCCCTAAATTTGGATTTCCTAAGAACATGGACATTTTCTTATAAAATCAGGAAAGTTTTCAACTTCAGAAAATTTAACATTTTTATGCTACTTCATCACCCATGGTCTAATTTTGTCAACAGACCTATTACTGTTCTTTACAGCAATTTTTTCCCTCTACTACGAAAATCCAGACCAGAATCGCCTATTGCATTTCCCTGTCATGGTTCGGTCAATAATATGTGATGCTGTTATTTACAAGAGATTAGAAAATTAAACTTATACTACAAAAATGCAATTGATTAAAGTTCTGTTCCAGCATTTTATGTGTTCTTTCCTTTTCAGTAAAAAAAGGTGTGTTAGCAACGCTATTTCTACAGTTTCAAAGGATTTATCAAAACAATCTTTAAATCTCAAAAGGAGTAAGGAAAAAACAGAACCTCATTAAAAAGGAAGACACTAAATACCAATTCCAACAAAACCGTTGGGCTGAATTCTATGCATCTTTGACACTACTTCAGAACTTAAGACAAATCAAGAAGGAGACACTCGCAAGTGGTTACTGTACTTACCCCTGGAGGTTAGTGGGAACATGGGGGGGGGGGGGCTGGTAAAGTGGTATTTCCGCTTTTCATTCTAGAAATTTTTGTAGTGTTTGAGGTGGGTTTTTTTTTTTTTTGTATTTACCATGAGCACACATTTCTCATTTAATAATAAAAAAATAAAATCAGAAAGATAAAGAAAACTAGATGCCGGGCTGCATTTTTGATGTACGGGGTTAACCTGAATATCGAAGTTCATCCGTTTGTACTTTGGTTTCTTCGCCTGAAGATGGTGACACCTTCTCCTAACTTACGCAGGGAGACGCCAGAAAGGTTAAGTAGTCACTAAACTACTGTTGCAGGGAGAAAGAGCCAACAGAAATGTTTGTCACGGACCAGAGAAACGTCTCCCGTGGGCCGGCTGGCAGAGCGAAGGTTAACGGTCTGCCTTGAACAGACCAGAAACTCCAGCAGAACGGCCCTGGGTTTTAGAGCGTTCATTCTGCAGCGGGCAACAGGGGAGCCAATGAAAGTCACAGGCACCCGAGGCAGAGGGAGAGGACGGACGGCTCCCGGCGCGCGCGAGCTGAGCTGAGGGCGCACCGGGCTGTCAATGGGACGGGAGGGACGCCGGTGCCCGCGCGCCCGGGGGGCAGCTGCCGTCCGGGTCCGCGAGTGGGAGAGCCGCTCCGGAGGCGCGAGCCGGGTGGGTCACACCTACCGAGCGCTGGGCACGTCCACCGGCCCGAGGCCACCGCCGCCGCTGGGGCTGGCTAGCACGTCCCCGCCGTATTTCTCCTCCATCCCGGGGCTCAGGAGCCGCCGCCGCTGCCCCCGCCGCGGGGTTTCCTCATGTCTCGCCGCTGCCGCGGAACAGCGGGCGCAGACGCGTCACTCCCCCATGATAGCGGCCCCCTCGGGTCCCCACAGGCCAGGCCGCCGCCGCCGCCGCCGCGGTCCCCGGCTCCTGCTCACTAGCACACGCGCGTCGGGACTAGGCCGCGGGCAGTTCCGGCGGCGCCGGGCTCCCCCGAGGCGCACCGGAGCGGACGTTGCCAGGCCACGTCATCGGGCCCAGCAGCCCTCACTCCCGGGGGAGTGCCCAGCCCTGCGCCTGCGCATAACAGAACACTCGCTTTCTCTTGCCCTTCCTTAGGCACCGCCTACACGGGTGACGGGATCGGATCGTTTCTCGGGATCAGCTCCTCGTTTTGACGCTGCCATCGCGCTTACCTGTCCCTGCAGCGCCACCTCTGTGCCGTCAGGAATACAGCCGATTCTTGTAGCACCGCGGAAGAAGGCATAGAAAATGGACAATGTGTGATCAAATACAATACAGTATCTTTTAAAATTTGGCTGCTAGACTATGCTACTTAATCCTGGTACATCAGTAAATCTTGGGTAGGGAGGACCAGGCCTTATTAGTTTTTTTTTTTTTTTTTTTTCTGTTGCTAAAAATTTAGGAACGTGAGCTCATGTGTTTGTCAGTTTCAATTGTAACCCTGACACTTAATAATTGGTCACGTGGCCTTTCTGTACCTCAATTTTCTTATTTGTAAAATAGGGATAGAAATATGTATGTCATAGGGTTGTTGGGAAGATTATATGTTATGTGAAAATGTCTAGAACATTTTGAAAGGTACACAGTAATCAGTGAATGTTAACTGTTATTATTACTCATAGGGGAATTTGTGGACTGGGTTGGGAGATGGAATGGAGTTTGGAGCGGTTTACAATACTGTGCTTAATTTGAATATACATAAAAAGTCTTAATAACCTATAAAAGATTGAGAAATCACTGTCTGTGCCTCCTCTGGCTTCATAATCTATTGTGGAAATATTTAGCAGTTTGCGAGCAAGGCCTGGTTCACCACAGTAAAGGTTAAAGGCACAAATGCTAAGGTTTCCCAAATAAGGTGTGATATGATTATACCTAGAAAAGACTCACTGCTAGACAGAACTTGACCTGAAACTTGGGTAAGATTTTAGATATGGGAGGAAAGCACTGTGGGGATGACACATCCCATGTATAGAACACACAAGAATGGATGACTTAAAAAAATTTGTTTTCAATGTTTATTTTTGAGAGAGATTGCACACACAGTGCCAGCAGGAGAGGGACAGAGAGAGGGAGATATAGAATCTGAAGCAGGCTCCAGGATCGGAGCTGTCAGCACAGAGCCCCATGCGGACCTTGAACTCAAGAACCACAAGATCATCACCTGAGCTGAGGTTGGACAGTTAACCTACTGAACCACTTAGCTGCTCTGTGGAATGCATGACTTTAAAAGCTAAAGTGACTCCAGGGGTGCCTGGGTGGTCCAGTTGGTTAAGCATCTGACTTTGGTTTAGGTCATGATCTCATGGTTCTTGAGTTGAGCCCTGCATTGGGCTTCTGCTGTCAGCATAGAGCCCAAATCAGATCCTTTGTCTCCCTCTTTCTCTGCCCCTCCTGCAGATATGTGCTCTCTCTTTCTCTCTCTCTCTCTCTCTCTCTCTCTCAAAAATAACTAATAAACACACACACACACACACAAAAGAAATTCATTAAAAAAGAAGCTAAAGTGACTCCAAGTGACTTTTCTGTAGCAATTTTTGTAGAATTTTTATTTTCCAATTAGAGTGGTAGTGTTAACAAGTAACTATTGTTTTTCTAGAGCAAGTTCCATTCTTTTGGAGCCCAGAAAACAAGGTAACATGACACGTGTGAGCTTGAATTCACTTGATATTTCTGATTTGGTTAGAATTATGGCACTTTTCTTTTAGGCCGATATAAGGACATTTCCTACAACTGTGGAAGTTGTAGTGGAAGGACAAGTGCCTCTATGCTATTTCCCTTTGGTCACTTCTCAATCCATTTCAACCTGGCTTCTCCATCCATCAGTACCCTGAAATAGCTCTCTCATGGATATTTTTGAGCCATATATTACCTCACCCCTCTAAAGCTGTCGACATAGATGACCTCTTTTCTTGAAACATTCCTTTTTGTTGATTTTGTGAACTCTACAATGGTTGTCTCAAAGGAAGCTCAGTTCTTTATGTTTCAAAGCCAGTGCGTGATCTTTCCCATAAACCTGATTCTCTTCTAGTGTTTTCTACCTCATTGAATGGCATCATTTATTTAGCTTAGCAAACCAACAACTTAGCTATCATCTTGAACACCTCCCCTTCCTTGTGATCTATATTGAATCCATCACCAATTCATGTCATTTTTTACCTTCTCAATATTTCTTGAATCAATCTAAATTTTTCCATTTCCATTACCACCATCAAGTCTAGGCTACCATTAACTTTTGTTTCAGCCACATTAGTAACCCATTCCAATTTTTTTTAAGTAAAAAAAAATATTTATTTTTGAGAGACAGAGCGAGCAAGAGAGGGGCAGAGAGAGAGGGAGACACAGAAATCCGAATCCAAGGCAGGCTCCAGGCTCTGAACTGTCAGTGCAGAGCCTGACGACGTGGGAATCAAGCTCACCTGAGCTGAAGGCCAAAGCTTAACCAACTGAGCCACCCAGACACCACAGTAACCCCTTACTCATTTTCCAAGTTCAGTCTTTTACATTATCCAATCTGTTTTCCACATTTTGTCGTAGTATGGTAATATTTTCCTAATGCAAATCTTATAATGAACTGCCTACCCCACTACATTTCACCCTGCAGTCTTTCAGTGGCTTTCTGTTACTCTTAAAAAATTTTTTTTTAATGTTTGTTTATTTTTGAGAGAGGAGAGAGAGAGAGCACAGGAGGGGCAGAGAGAGAGAGAGGGGACAGAGGGTCCAAGGCAGGCTATGTGCAGACAGCAGAGAGCCTGATGCAGGGCTTGAATTCATGAACTGTGAGATCATGATCTGAGCTGCAGTCAGACGCTTAACCAACTGAGCCACCCAGGCGCTCTTTCCATTACTCTTAAGGGCCTCCATTACAAACTTGAATCAATCAGGAATTCACACTGATACCTCCAATTACAATCCAACTGTAGATGTTTCATTCTAGACTTTCCCCTTGTATTTCTACCTCTCTTCCCTGAGAATGAGAAACATGGCTCCCGTTATCCTCAAAATATTGCCTTATTTTCTCAGTCTTCTTGTGTGTAACCAATCTCATGATCATGTAGGTCATCTCCTCTTTGGCACAGCCAACTCATGCTAGCCTGGGAGGGCTGAGACTTCTCCCTCCCAGCTTTTATTTTTTAATCTACATTTGACTCATTTGCACACAGTGACAAATATGGAGCTGAAACATTTTCTTTCACTTTCACTTTCCATCATCTGGAAGGAGCAAGAAAGGGAACTAAATTTTTGGAGTGGCTCTTCTAAGAACCAGGTAATGTCTTTTTTTTTTTTTTTTTAATTTTTTTTTCAACGTTTATTTATTTTTGGGGCAGAGAGAGACAGAGCATGAACGGGGGAGGGGCAGAGAGAGAGGGAGACACAGAATCGGAAACAGGCTCCAGGCTCTGAGCCATCAGCCCAGAGCCTGACGCGGGGCTCGAACTTACCGACCGCGAGATCGTGACCTGGCTGAAGTCGGACACTTAACCGACTGCGCCACCCAAGCGCCCCAGGTAATCTCTTATTTAATTTTTCTTTATTAATATTTTTAAAGTTTATGTATTTATTTATTTTTGAGAGAGGGAGAGAGAGAGAGAGAGAGAGAGAGAGTGCCAGCATGGGCAGGGGAGGAGCAGAGAGAGAGAGAGAGAATCCCAAGCAGGCTCTACACTGTCAGTGCAGACCCCAATGTGGGGCTCAAACTCACAAACTATGAGATCATGACCTGAGCAGAAAACAAGAATCAGAGGCTTAACCGACTGAGCTGCCCAGATGCCCCTCATTTAATTTTGAGATCCTTTCAAGGTTGGCATTATTTTATGCTGCAGAGTTAAACTCAAAAAGGGTTAAGTAAATTGTCAGTTATTATATAACTAGTAAGGCAAGACTACCCCCTAGAATGGCAAAGTGCCCTTCAGTGTCAGCTGTTTTACTCCTTTCTTCCTGATCGCATGAGTGACAACTGACTCCAATGTAGTAAGAGAACCAGATGGGGAGCGCTTGTTTCATAAACCACTTGTGGGAATCTTGATTAAAGAATGTGGTGGACGTTGTCATAAGGGGCAACTTAGCACCAGCTTCCTTCCTTCCACTGAATTTTGTTGAGTGCTTACCATATTCTAGGTCCACTTTCAGGTACTTGTTGCATTTCCCAGAAGCAAACTCTGAGGTAAGAATTTGAATAAAAGTGACTTACTGGTAAATATTCCCAGGAAAAGCAGGAGAGTGGGAAGGAGAATAGGAAAGAAAGACAAGTAAAGATGTGATATCAGGAAAAGTCCCACTGGGGAGCTTGGATACCGTGAAGATCACATCTCAGAGGGTCCTGTTGGAGGTGAGCTGTCTTAGTGCATCTGGGCTGCTATAACAAAAGTACCATAAACTGGGTGGTTTATAAACCACACACATTTATTTCTCCTAGGTTTGGTGGCTGAGAAATCCCAGATCAAGATGCTGGCAGTGGCAGTGTTAGTATCTAGTGAAGATCCACTTCCTGGTGTCACCTTTTTGCTGTGTCCTCACATGGTGGGAGAGGTGAGCTAGCTCTCTATGTGTTTTTTATTTATTTGTTTGTTTTAATGTTTATTTTTTTATTTTTGAGAGAGAGTGTGAGTGGGGGAGGTGCAGAGAGATGGGGGGACAGAGGATCTGATATGGGCTCCATATTGACAGCAGAGAGCCCAATGTGGGGCTTGAACCCATGAACCATGAGATATGACCTGAGCCAAAGTCGGATGCTCAACTGACAGCCACCCAGGTGTCCCATCTATGTGTTTTTTTTTTTTTTTAAAAATAAAGGCACTAATCTGAATCATGAGGGCAGAGCATAATAACCTAATAACCTCCCTAAGACCCAACTCTTAATATCATCACCTTGGGGGTTAGCATTTCAACATAGGAATCTTGGGGGAATACAAACATTCAGACCATAAATGCAAGGGAATTGGGATATTTGGGGAGTTCTCTGACAATGAGAGGATGGTACTGGTTGTTAGGAGTGCTCCTTGCATATGTCATAATGGGAAAGGGATCCAAGGGCATATAGGCAAAGGCCTTACTGACAGTATCCACTATAAGATTACACATATTTTGGTCATTTTCCACGTGCTGTGTTCTACTGTCCCAATGTTGAAACCAGAAAACTCATAGCCTAGACTTCCTTGAAGCAAGGGTTCTGGTATATGACCTGGGTCTCATCAGTCAGACATATTCAAGTGTGACTTAAGTTCAGCTGAGAAAGCAGCAAGTGGGGACACTTTTTTTCTTCTCTGGAGGAGGCATTTAGTACTTTGAAAGCATCAATGGCAGAACTTCTGGTGTCCATTCCTAGGGGTCACTGGTGCCAAGCGGCAGTGACCGTGGTGTTGTTGGCTGAGTGACCCCCCTGGTGTGGTTGGACCTTGCTTCTGGTTGCCCAGTGGCAGAGCCTGGCTCTCTGGTCCTACAAAGGTTCCGTGAATTACCCAATATCCCTTGATACATTCCTGCATGAACTAGTCAGACTGGAGGTGGTGGTTTGCAATTAAGAACACTGAATGGTACGGCTGATATGGTACAGAACCCTGACTAACAATAAGCTGCACATAGATTTTGTTAAGTGCTTTTTACTTTAGACCAAGAAACAGTACCATGCTTCTAAAAATCAACTCCTAATATGTTGCACCTTAGTGGAGAAAGCTTCCCCAAACCCACACAAGGACTTTATCTGATGCCAAACATATTTTTATCCTCTATTTTATATCAGAAAAGGAAAGTAAGACAATGTTCAGTAATTCCATATCTGTCCTGACCAGGGTAGGAAGCAGGTTGGGGTTGGAATTCTCAGAGGTATTGATATCGATATTCTCAGAGATAACGGGCTCCACACTACCACTGCAAAGCTATACAGGGAAGTAGTGTGTTGTTTTAAGGATTTGAGTTCTTAGCAGTTAGGGACTCTGTGTAATGTTTTTAGCAGACATTAAATGTGGGCAGTTAAAAATGAAAAACACTATCTACAGGAGTGACGAGGAGGATGTAAATGAGGAGATGGAGAGATATAGTTCATATTTGCACATTTTCAACTAGCAGATCAGAATTTTATTGTGAATCTTGAAGTTTCATTCAAGAATTCATTCACTAATTATGCCCCATGTGTTTCAGGAATTTATCCTTCCATTTATCCATTCATCCACCCAGCTGTCAAAAAGGAAATATTTAATGAAGGCCTACTATGTGCCAGTACCACTTATATTCCAAAGTGGAGGAAAACACAGTATTATCTTTCTTCTCAAACTGATGAGAAACTCAGCTGATAGCAACACACTTTAGGGGAAAACAAACTGAAAAGAATCTTGCCGAAAGACAATTCTGTATAGGCCTTTTGTGTTTCTGCGTGTCTTTTCAGCAAAGGCATTGACAGTCTTTGTTAGAGACTATGTTTTCAAGGATGTTTGTATAGCAAACAGCCTTGGAAGGTAGAGGTAATAACTCCTTTTGGGGTAGAGGGAAGATTTATTGCTGATCAGGATAAAAAAGATAAAGGCTCACTCTAAGACAAGGGTTGGGGAGGTTGGCTAGCAGACTCTTTAAAAAGGACTGGAATTTCCTAAACTTTCAGTTGCATGCTTAGCAACTACTTAGGGTGTGAGGCATCACCCTCATGGGATTTGAAGGTGCGGGAGGCAAGATGAAGTGGTGCAAACGTGAGGTTCATGTTACCTGTGTGGTTAACAAAGTCCTTTGTCTCTGATCCAGGAGTCTTGGTCAGACTTCTGCTGGCTTCAGGAAACTGTGGCAGGCTAATTGTGTTTGCAAGCACAGTAACATCTTAGTCCCTTCGTGGTTCTTGCCACATCTTCCCCCCACCCAAATTTTACTTATCATTTAATTAGAAAAATTCATAGTACACTATCATGAGGGGTGTGGGTATTCTGGGGTCTTGAGGTATTCAGACTGGAAAGAGAGAAGTAAAGGTGTTGGTATTTATAGATGACATGATCTTACATGCAGAAAATATGAGGAACCCACTAAAAAAATTGGTAGAAATAAACAAGTTGAGCAAAGCTACAGGATGCAAGATCAATAAACAAAAATAAATTTCATTTCTCTACATTTTTTAAAGTTTATTTATTTATTTTGAGAGAGAGAGAGAGAGAGAGAGAGGGAGAGAATGAGTTGAGGAGGGGCCGAGAAAGAAGGAGAGAGAGAATCCCAAGCAGGCTCTACACTGTCAGTGCAGAGTCCAACACAGTGCCCCATATCAAGAACAGTGAGATCCTGACCAGAAAAGAAATCAAGAGTTAGACACTTAACTGACTGAGCCACCCATGTGCCCATTTCTAAACGTTTGTAATGAACAATCCAAAAAGGAAATTAGGAAAACAATTCAATAATTCCATTTATAATAGCATCAAAAGAATAAAATACTTAGGAATCAATTTAACCAAAGGAGGTATAAAATATATATTTTGAAACTGTGAATCATGTTGAAAACAATGAAAGAAAACCTAAGTTGGGATGCCTGGGTAGCTCAGTGGGTTAAGCAGCCAACTCTTTCTTTCTTTTTTTTTTTTTTAAGGTTTATTTTTATTTTTGAGAGAGAGAGAGAGAGAGAGAGAGGCAGAGCATGAGTGGGGGAGTGGCAGAGAGAGAGAGGGAGACACAGAATCTGAAGCAGGCTCCAGGCTCTGAGCTATGAGCACAGAGGCTGATGTGGGGCTCAAACTCATGAACTGTGAGATCATGACTTGAGCTGAAGTCGGATGCTTAACCCACTGAGCCATGCAGGTACCCCAGCAGCCAACTCTTGATTTCAGTTTAGGTCATGATCTCACAGTTCATGGGTTTGAGCCCCACATCGAGGTCTGTGCTCACAGTGCAGAGCCTGCTTTGGATCCTCTGTCTCCCTCTCTCTGCCCCTCCCCTACTTGTGCTCTCTCTGTTCTCTCTCTCAAAAATAAATGTTACAAAATTTTCTAAAGAGAACATAAATAAATGGAAAGGTGTCCATGTTCATGTTTAATATTATTGAAGTGGTCATATTCCCCAAATTGATTTACAGATTCAATACAATCCCTGTAAAAATTCTAGCTGGATTTTTGAAGAAATTGACAAGCTAATCTTAAAATTTATATGGAAATTCAAGGAACCTAAAATAGCCAAAATAATACAGAAAAAGAACAAAGTTGGAGGACTCACACTTTCCAATTTCAAAACGTACTACAAAAATACAATAATCAAAATTGTGTGGCACTGGCATAAGAATAGATATATAAATCAAAGAAGTAGAATTGAGAGTCTAAGAAGAAACCCTCACACTTAACACTCAATTGATTTCAACAAGGGTGCCAAGAGAACTCATTGGAGGTTGAGTGATCTTCCCAACAAATGGTGTTGGGACAACTGGATATTCATAAGCAAAAAAATGAATCTGAATCCCTACCTCACACCTTGGACAAAAATTAATTTCAAATATTTAAAAATCTAAATTTGAGAGCTAAAACTATAAATCTGTTAGAATAAAATATAGATATAGATCTTTATGACCTTGGATTAGGTCATGGTTTCTTGGCTATAACAATGAAAAGCACAAGTAACCAAAGAAAAAGATAAAAAGATTAAAAAAAAAAAAAAGAAAAAGAAAAAGATAGAGGTGCCTGGCTGACTCAGTTGGCAGAGTATCTGACTCAATCTTGAGGTCATGAATTCAAGCCTCATGTGGAGCCTAATTAAAAAAAGATGCAAAAGGAAGATTAAGTTAGACTTCATTAAAATTAAAAATTTTGTGCTTCAAAAGGGCACTATCAAGAAAGTAAAAAGATAATTCATAGAATAGGAGAAAATATTTGCAACCATATGTCTGGTAAGAGTCTTATGTAGAGGCTACAACATGGATGAATCTTGAAAACATGTAAGTGAAAGAAATCAATCACAGAAGGGCACATATTGTATGATTCCATTTATATGTAATGTACACAATAAAAAAATCTATATATAATGTAGGTTAATGATTGCCTAAGGCTAGGGAGTGATGGCTAAAGGGTAGTGTTTCTTTTGGGGGCAATAAAAAGGTTCTAATATTGATTGTGGTGATAGTTGTACAACTCTGTGAATATACTGAAAACCATTTAATTGTATGCTTTAAGTAGGAGAATTGGATGGTAGATGAATTACATCTTTAAAAAATTAAAAAAAAATTTTTTTAGTGTTTATTTATTTTTGAGAGAGAGAGAATGTATGAGCCAGGGAGGGTCAGACAGAGAGGGAGACACAGAATCTGAAGCAGGCTCTGAGCTGTCAGCACAGAGCCCAATGCAGGGCTCGAACTTATGAACCATGAGATCATGACCTGAGCTGACGTCAGATGCTCAACCAACTGAGCTACCCCAGCGCCCCTGAAAAAATTTTTTTATGTTTATTTATTTTAGAGAGAGAGAGAGAGAGAGAGTGAGAGTGGGTATGGGTGGGGGAGGGGCAGAGAGAGAAGGGGACAAGTGGGCTGTGCACTGACAGCCCCACATGGGGCTCAACTCAGAAACTGTGAGATCATGACC